CCCCCCCCCCCCCCCCGGGCCCGTCCTTTGGGGCTGCGGCTGCCTGGCCCGCGCCGCGTGCTCTGCTCCCCGGCTCCCGGCTGCAGCTCCTGGCCGCCTGCCCAGCTCTCCGTGGGTGATGCCACACGAACATCTCCACCGAGTGACATTTAGGAGTCGGGTGTTTAGCATACACTGCGCCTTCCTGACTCGTCATTTTTCAGGCTCAGGTTTCTTTCTCTCTAAGCCTGCCCTCCTTCGATCGCTCTGCCACCATCTCTTTAGAAGCCTAACGTGGCAGAATATTTTTAATATTTCTGGAGTGGCTTTCAGGCGTGGTGTCGAGCCATCTGGGGCACCGGAAATAATGTTTTCGAAAGGAGATTAAGGAGGAAGAGAGTCATGTGGCCGAGAAGGGGCACGCAGTACAAGACTACCTGTTTGCACTGGGGACCAGCTTTGGCCTGTCTAATGTCTTCCATGAGATGGGCGAATTTTTTAAAATAACCAAAATAGCCAAGATGAAATGTGGCTGGTAAAACACTAGGAAAAATCCGAGTTATGTAGTTTTTGTGATTTAAATACTGATAGAATGTTAAGTCATCTATGCCACACAGCACTTTTGACTTAAAACGAAATTGGTTTTTCTTAACAAATGGGAAGCAATTTCTTGGTTATTTTGTATAAATATAAATGGACCCCAACTTTGTTTTCCGAATATGGGTAAAAATATAACCTGTATGCTTTCTTTATACTCTACCTTTTTGCTGACATTGTACTGACATTATGTGACCCGTTTTGCCACCCTGTCACTCACATTACTGTCTTCAGCTTCACATCACCTTAAGTCAAACTGAAAGTGTGGTGTGATTTTTATACTGAATCACAGGTCTGCTTAATGTTTCCTGTAATTGAAGTTGGCACCTTCCTAAAACATTCCAAGCTTAAGTTTTCCCAGACTGAAAAATGTTATTTTAATGATGGGCAAAATTTGTGGTATTCTGTGATAATGGTTTTGTGTCACAAAGTCTTAGGAGCATATAGGTAGGTCATTTAACATCTTTAGTTAGATGATTTAAATCCCTTCAAGGTCTGAAAAGCTAGACTTTTGTTAAATTTCTATCTCTCATGTTTTTTAGGGTCTAGAATGTGTATGCTTAATCTCATCTGGTACTCACTTGTACCTTATCATCTGGTTTACCAGGCATGAAACTAGTTTAAATACCTGAGCCCAGGGTTACAGAATTACAAAGTGCAATTGCTAGCATTTAAAAGTTGTCCTTGAAGGCTATGGGATGGGAATTGTTTTCTATTGAAAATGTCTTCCAGTTTGTGTCTTTTCAGTGGCACTAGTGTCCTTTTTTCTCCTTCTTGTCAGATAGGAAATTTAAGCTTATAAGAACTTTCTAGCTTCATTTCCTTCCAAATAAGAAATCGTCTCCTAGCAGTAACTTTGAAAACACTATTTTGGTTAATACTTACTGACAACGATACATAAAAAAAGGTCCTGTACTGTACCCCAACCACCAAAGAAAATCAGTCTAGGGAGGGAATCCTTCAAGAACATTTGCTCAGCTGACCTGGGAATTTGAATGGCCAATAAGACAATCTTGTTTACCTTAGTTCAAAGGAGTTTCTTTTTCTGCCACTGAAGTTTGAAATAATAGCTAGACTGGCTCAGGAGCAATCCAAGTACTATATATGATAATCCTGAGAGCTTTGAATCAAGGATTTCAAGAGTGAACCCCAGCTGTCTTGAATTCATATATACACTTGAAGAGCACTGGCCTCAAGATTGTTAAGACATTTTTAATCTTTTTAAAGATTATATTTCCTGAATGATCTGGTTTCCAAATGTAGTTTTCCTCTTTTGACTCCTTCCATTTTGCCTTTGTGTAATAAACATTTCTCTCATTCTGGGAGGTAAGCTTCCAGTTGATCCTGTTATCCTTTCTAATGCTCAGCTTCCAAAATTTAGTTCATCCCTCAGTCAGCAAGCCACCTGGAATGCCAGCACTCACGACTCTGCCAGGTTTTATGGAAGATTATTAAAAGAAATAACCATGTGAAATTAAATGAGTTAACATTTTGTAAAAGGCTTAGGACAATAATTTGGTATGTGTTAAAATAGTATATGTGTTTATTAAATAATAAAATTGCTTCATCTTCATGTTGTAAAACATGACAAGGACATTAGCCTTTGAATTTTAGGCTCATACATGAGAAATTTCTTTTTGTTTTTTTAGTTTCCAGAAAAAATTTCCCTTGAAAAATTATTGTACTTCTATTTGATTTGTACTGTTTGTCTTTTTGGCCTACTTACTAGTAAGCTTAGAGAATTTAATACTTAACCATAGCAATTTTATTAATTAACATGGCTAACATGTTTGCTTTTCCTCCTTTCCTTGGTCTGACTATATTTTATTAACCTTACTATATTATATTTTGGAAAGAGGTGGAATATAAGCAAGTTACCTACTTACCTTTTTTCCATAGTCAAATTCTTTGAACCAGTGTCATCCTAGGCTGTGCCATCTCCTTCAACCAACTTCAGTCTGGTTTAGATTCCTGGTTTAACTTAAGATTTTACTACTGTCTTAAATACCCTATATAAAATATGATTTTTGCTTAGTTTTCCCTGTAGTGCACTTACTTAATTTTGTTGCTATCATTTTATCATTTTGAAAATCCACTTGGCTGTCTTTATTTTTTAAATTGTCCTCTTTGCTTTCCTGGCACTTTTTGGGTTTGCTCACTGAGTAAACCCTGAGGCTAAGGTCTTTGCTTCTTTCCCACTTGTCTGCCTTCTCCACAGCATGTGCCTTCTCTCAACTTTGCCTCTCATGATAATATTTCATCTCTCATCCAAACTCTTCTCACGTTTATGTCCATGTATTTGATGACCCAAATTAAAAGTCTGTACCCCCATATCCATTCTTTTGTCTCATTTCAGTCTTTTGAGATTGTTTATAGAGTTTTAATTTCAAACTACCACTGTCTTTCTAAAATACCAATACAGACTGGAATGAGCATTATATCAAAATCACAAACCATGCTGTAGCATTCAATATTCTTGATCAACCTTTATGCCGAATGCTTGCCCAGCATGGACATTTTACCTCACTGTTTCTTCTCCATCAAGCATGCCATGCTTCATTTCTATGAAGCTTGTGTGTATCCTATAGTGAAGAGTCCCTGAAAAGAGTTGCCAGGTTGGGATGAGGGACATTTTTGTTACCTTTTGTTTAGGCATTTTATTATTTAGTTAGGAGGGAAAATGATACAACCGAGAGGGACTAGGCTTGGAAAATATCAGCACATGTATACTCTTTAGTAAAAGAGTAATTCATATAGGGTACAATATTGACAATACAGGATACAGTATTCCATTAAAACAATGAGATCATTTTTTCCCTATCAGATTGGCAGATGTTAAATTAAATCAAGTGATGCGGAGGGTGTGGGGAATAGGAACTCTTACATTGCTAGTGGAAGTATAAATTAGTTCAGCTATTTTGGAAGGTGGTTTGGTAGTATTTGTCAAAAACTGCATACCCATGATGAAGTAATTGAATGTTTGCTCATCTACGTGAAGTCATGGCATTTAAAAATATATTTTGGATTAAATATGCATAATTAAAAATGTATTAAAAGTGAAAGGAAACATTTTTATACTGGCTTCAGATAGTATGACTTTTGGTAGGTCATTTTTTTAAATATTTTAATTTTTAATTTTTTAGAGAGTGAGCAGGGGAGGGAGGCAGAGGAGGAGAGAGAGAAAATCTTTAAGCAGTCTCCACACTCCGCGCAGAGCCCGACACAGGGCTCTATCCCATGACCCTGGGATCATGACCTGAGCTACCCAGGTGCCATGGTAGTTCATATTTATTAAATGGAAAGTGAGGGGCATAGAATCATTACATTGTATGCTGTGAGAATTGAATCTCAAGATTAAATGCTTATGCATTGCAGCAAACATTGAATTGGTCTATAGAACAGTACTTGATAATGAAGTTGAGACAGTGTTTGGCAGGTATAATTTCAAAGTGAAAGAACGTCCGTGAAATAGGTGACAAATTTTGTCATTCTTTAATGCATTTCCTTTTAATGTGTAAAAGTGAATGTATTTACAGTTCACTTAAAATCAAGATTGAAAGTATATTTGAGGGATTCCTCAACACCTCTGATTTTATTTGTGATTTCTTCCATTAAAATTTTTTTCAGGTTACAGTAACCAGTGAGCTTTAGTTTAGTGGCCATTTGAAGCATACACCATAACATTTTTTGCTGCCTGATACTTATATTAAACCACGGGTATCTATTTAGTCATGGCTATATCTGTGGTGACCTGTAATTAACGAACTGCATGCTACTTAATAATTTTTAGATGAAGTTCACTGAAAGCATAAATTAGATCCTGAACTTTAGTTTCTGAGTTTTAGCTTCTTCTTTTCAGGCTTTACTGTTTACAAAGAAGTCTGCCTACTTCAAAATCAACTCACTCAGGAAATGACTACCACATTGAATTCAATTTTTTTATGAGGCGCTATGTAGGGAAAAGTAACAAGGGTTGGAAGGGCACTATTTTAGTCTGAAAAAAATAAATGTCACCTTGAAGAGAACTTTGTTGAAGATGTTTGTGGGTTTGAGTTTCAAAAAATTACTTGAAATAAGTAAAAAGCTATACTTCTTCCTTGTGACTATGAAGTGAAGAAAAATTATGGCTGTAGAAACAAGGTCTAATTGTAGGATTTGCATTCTTTAAGGAGTGCACTCTTTAATTCCTGTATAAGTCAAGGAGTTGCCTGTCTGCCTTTTCACCTTTTAAGTCATTTGCTAGGAAGAATACTTAAGAAAGCTGAGTGAACAGATATATTTATAAAAATAATTACTAATTATTGATATCTCTGAGGTAAATAGCTTTCAGGTAGAGATACTTAGGATTTTATCCTGGAATCTTCCTACTCAGGTATAAAATTGCTTTGCTTATGAAACATGGTGCATATAACTAATTACTGTACTTGTTACTTTTACTTTTCTGGCCACTTACAACACAGTAGAAGCATGATAATGTGTTTTCTTGGCTTCCTTTGGGGAGTATTCTCTGGTTTGTATGTAACATTATTAATATAGTGAACATTAACTTGGTAGATTTTAAGATTTGAATATATGTATATGTGTGTGGGTGGGTTTTTTTTTGTTTTTTTGCCTGTTAATTTCTACTACAGGCCTCTAAAGATTTTTAAATGGGCATCTTCATGAAGGTGTGAGTGACATAGGCACTTCCTTAAGATTCTTGGTGGGAGTTCTTAAGAGACAGAGAGAGAGAGAATCCAAGCAGGCTCTGCAGCTCATCACGGAGACTTGATGTGAGGCTCGATCTCACAACCATGAGATCATGACCTGAGCTAAAATAAAGAGTTGGATGCCTAACTGACTGAGCCATCCAGGCACCCCAAGAGTACAGGCTTTTTAAGAACAGTTTTAAAACTGTGTGAAACTTTAAATATATTCGTACATTTTTAGGAGTCTAGGCTAACAAACTTGAGTTGTAGGAAGATTTATTCATTAATACTTTTGGTACAGTACCCTACATATTAGAGAAGAATGGAAAAAAAAACTTGTGTTCAACATTAGTGGAATGGTTGAGTAAATTATGATACATACATACATATGAGAGTCTCTTATTCAGTCATTTAAAATGTATACAGACACTTTTGGGAGATGTAAGAAAATATTAGGCCAAAAGTTAGAATATAAAATTTCTGTGCAGTATGATCTCAAGTGATCCTTAAGCTTTTTTTTTTTTCCTTAAGCTTTTAAAACATGCTTGGAAAAAGTATTTTGAGGAAAACAAACTGAAATGATATCAGCAGTTGTGGTTTGTGAGAATGGACATTTTTTTCTCTGCCTCTTTAGAGTTAATTTTAAGATTTCTCGTTATGAGTACAATTGACCCTTGAATAATGTGGATGTTAGGGGTGCCAGCCTCTTCTCACAGTCAAAAATTAGGTTACTTCCCCAAAACTTAACTACTGATAGCCTACTGTTGACTGGAAGCTTCACCAATAACAAACAGTCAATACATATTTTGTATGTTATATGTATTACAGACTATATTCTTACAATAAAGTGAGCAAGAGGAGAGAAAATGTTATTAAAATCACAAGGAAAAGAAAATATATTATAGTACTATACTGTATTTATTGAGAAAAAGCCACATGTAAGTGTACCCACATGGTTCAAACGCTTGTTGCTCAAGGGACATCTGCATTTATAACTTCCATTATTAGAGGAACCACATCTGTTAATTTTAAAATTGTAAATATCTACTCTACTAGTCTGCTATTCTAATATACTGTTTCTGGTACATATAACAGGAAGTACCATTACATTAAAAAGTTAAAAAAAGTGTACATGGATTTGTACAGCTCTTCTCAGCATTATCCAGTTATATTCACTATTTGCAAACATCAAACTTTTTGTAAACTATTCTTAGTGTAAATCTCCTTAGAAAATGTTGCATATTTTTTGCCACAGTAAAATATAATGAAGAGTTTAATGTTTCTTGTTCCATCTCGGATTTTACCATAAGGGAGCATTACTATAGTGATGTTCGCAGGCAAGTGTTGGCAAACTTTTTCTCTCTGAAGGGTCAAATAGTACATATTTTTGGCTTCACAGGCTATCTGGTCTGGGTTAATACTATTCAAATTAGCTGTTATTAGCAAAGCTGTCAGGGATGGTTGGTAAATGCATAGGGACAGCTGTTTTGCAATAAAACTTTATTTACAAACACAGGTGGCACTGCTCTAGTTTGCTGTTAGTGGCCCCTGTACTAAACTGTATTTAGTTGTGTAATGTGTTCCCTCATATTATGATTAGTTCCACTTTGAATGAGTTTGCTCCTTTGTGGATTTTTGTATCTTGTATCTGTTGCTACATCTTGTTCTGTTCTTCCTGTCTCCACTTTGGCTATTTTCTCTTACTCTCCCCTTCTAGACCCAGTTCTCCTCAGCTTTTAAAAAAATTGCAGTAAAAATACACATAACAAAATTTTTTATCTTAACTATCTTTAAGGGTATGGTTCAGTAGCATTAACTACTCTTTGAGTCTCTTTTTTTTTTAAAGAACTTAAGATAGTTAGACTTTAGGTATAAAATGTGTGTATATAGGTCTTCTGTGTATATGTAGGTCCTGAGTGAGTAAAGTTCATAGTCTTTAGTAGGGGAATTTAGGAGGACCGTCTATTTTAGCAGCTCAAAAACTGAAAATTGGAGTTGAAAGTGACTTTAAAGACATCTAATTCCACTTCATGGTACGTATTTTATAACTTTGGCCACATATACTAACTGACCTAACTAAATGACTGAAGTTCATAAATATTAGGATTTATTTTGTCTTTTCATCTACCATTAGATTAATAAAATACTGTACTGAATTGATTACTTTCTAGGTACAATATTGGAAGAGACCTTAAAAACCCATCTCCCTAGTTGATTTTTTTTCTCTTCTGTTATACTCCTGCAAGTTGTTACTCATCTCTGAGTGAATACTTCCTTGACTAGAGTTCACTGCCTTGGAACATAGCACCTTCCATTTTCAGAGCTCTTTTGTTTTTGTGTAGCTGAAGTCTCCCTTTCATTAACCTATATATTTTAGTTACTTCAAAGACATCATCTCTAGTATGGTATTAAAGTGGTTAACAGAATTCACTGTATCTATTTTTACAACTAGATTGATGTATTAAAGGATACTTGACCGAAGGGATAGGTGGACTAACAGAGCTGGACATCAGGGACTTGGTCTGACCAGGTCCTCATCCTCCCCTCAAAGGCAAGCAGGCCGCCCCCTGGGCTGGACTTCTGAAGTTGTACATGTGGACAGTTTGCCATCAGCTGATGATGGATAGCTCAGCCACTAGCTTTTGTGCTTCTTACTTTGGTATGTTCTTGAATAAATTTCAGTAAAATCCAATTAGAACAGCAACCCTAATTTAACATAATCTCATCCTCACTTTTTATAGGATTTAACAAGGTGGAACAACAGTTTAGTTCTCTAACATAAGTAATTTCCCTATTAGCATTTTGGTTAGAAATTCTTCAAATATAAGGAGTCTTAACCTTTAATTATTCTGAACGAATTCTAGGTATTCCTCCTAAAATGGAGGGCTAATAATTGAGCACAATTGGTATGGTATACCATGAAGTATATAGAAACTAAAGACCAGTTTTCCAGGGCTAATTCTGGCACAACCACTTAAGAATTGTGTGACATTAGACATGTTGCTTGACTTTGAGACTCCGTCCTTCCCTGTAAACCTTACTTTAGCACATAGGGTTTTAAGATAGCAGGAGATCCTTTCTTAACAGTAAAGCCTTAAACTGTGTAATGTTTTATTTTTAAATTTCACCAATAATTAGACTTGGGGCAGAATGACTTGGAGAATAAGCAGAATTCATCACTTTGTCAGACTTATGATGTATATGGTCAGCCCCCATCAGTTGAACTTTCAACCCCATATGCTTATTTAATTAATTTTTTTTTTTTTTTAATTTTTTTTTTTAACGTTTATTTATTTTTGAGACAGAGAGAGACAGAGCATGAATGGGGGAGGGTCACAGAGAGAGGGAGACACAGAATCTGAAACAGGCTCCAGGCTCCGAGCTGTCAGCACAGAGCCCGACGCGGGGCTCGAACTCACGGACAGCGAGATCGTGACCTGGCTGAAGTCGGCCGCTTAACCGACTGAGCCACCCAGGCGCCCCTAATTAATTTTTATTGAAGTGTAATTAGCATACCATATTATATGGGTTCCATGTGTACAACATAGGGAGTCCACATTTATATGCATTGGGAACTGATTACATTAAGGCTAGTTACCACCTGTCACCATATGGTGTTGATAAATATTACTGATGGTGTTCCCTATGCTATATATTACATCCTAATAGCTTATTTTAGAACTAGAAGTTTGTATTTCTTAATCCTTTCTCCCTTTTTGGCCCCCACCTCCCAACCCCTCTCCCCTCTGATAAATACCACTGTTCTCTGTGAGTCTCAACTTAACTGTCAGCCAGCTCACTTTAAATTCAGAATGATAAACCAATTTAAAAACAATTTTTTTTAAAGATCATTGTTTTAAAATGAAATAAGTAAAAACATCAAAGTGTTCTTTTGTATTGTTAGTGGAGCTTTTTTTTTTTTTAAACGTAGTTGGGGAAAAAAAGTTTCTGACTTTCTGATAGGTTTACCATGCTATACTAGGTGTTTGAGTTCCATGGGCTTGACCCCTGCAAAAAAATATTAAGGAAGGTAATATGCCAGCCTTGAAGGTTTATAGTTTGGAGAAGTCAGGTAATATGAAATATTATTTAACAAGATAAGACTAAATATAATTCGTTTCAATTTTTTTCCTTCTCATTTTGCAGTTCTTAAAGACTTGATGATTTTCCTTTTCCACCTTTCATTTGATACTAGAGTTTTTTAACTTCTAAGATTTTAAACTATGAGGGAGAGTTTGCAGTGTTGCTCCTAATTATGGTATACTTCCTTAATTTCTCCCACCTGTCAAGGCACAGTTGAATGCTTACTTTGTACTTCCTAATACTTTTATTTATTTTTTATTTAAAAAAAATTTTTTTTAATGTTTATTTTTGAGACAGAGAGAGAGAGAGACAGAGGATGAGCAGGGGAGGGACAGAGAGAGAGAGAGACAGAATCTGAAGCAGGCTCCAGGCTCTGAACTGTCAGCACAGAGCCTGACGTGGGGCTTGAACCCATGAACAGTGAGATCATGACCTGAGCCAAAGTTGGATGCTTAACCCAGGCACCCCTTCCTAATACATTTTTTACACTTATATCCTAGTACTTGCCATAGTCTTGGCTCTCCTAGACAGCATCCTTATTTTATTCATCTTTACATAGGCTGTATAAGAAAAGTACAAAACTTAGTGATACAGCCAGGGAGTGCTAAAAAGAGTATAGAAAATCTGGTTGGGGAAAGCCCTGTATAATGATTGAAATGATGATTTGATACCTTAAAAGATTAGGAAAACGAGGATTATAAACAGAAGACTTACATGGATTAAAAAATAAAGGTAAGATAGCAGGATTTATTTACAGATTCATGAATCTAGTTAATTAAAAGTGATAAGTTAAGAATAGATAGTACAAAGCCATGTATAGAGAACTGAATACCAGACGGAGGAGCTTAAATTGTCCTTTGGTATTGGGTAACTGGTTGATCAATAAACAAAGTACCTCTTTTTATGTTGCAGAAATTGGCCCTGAATTTAAACACCATATGTAAATTTTTAGGAGGTGGTCTCCTCATTTATTGTTTAATTTATATAGATCTCTCTCAGCCGTGAAAATTGGGTATTTTAACAGCTCATAAATAGAAACAGCCACCCTAATTCATATATCTTATGCTCTCGCAGTTTGCTGTTCCTTGTAAACACCCAGTGAATGCTTACCTTCATTGTCTTGGTCATTCTGTTTCCTTTGCTGGGAATCCCTTTCTGTTGCCATGTTTTCAACTCCTACCCATCTTTCAAGTGTAGCTCAAATTCCATGTCTTCTAAAAAAGCTTTACCTTATTAGTCCATAGTGAAGCAATTTTTCAGAGTGTATCTCATTGTCCCTTTCTTGTAATTACTCATTATGTACGTCTTCTTTTTTCAATTTAGACTGTAAGCAACAACTAACATAATGCTGTACATGTCCTAGATGCCAGTTAAATATATGGCATTTTTTTTTGTTTTCTTAAACAATGATTTCTGTGTTTTAGGCAGGTATTTTGTGAGGGTAAAATAGAGGAAGGAATGGGTAAATGAAGTCACAAAATGATGGTGAAAGGATCTTAAGGACCATAATTAGAAAGGAAGTGAGGGAAAATGGAAGGAATAAAAAAGTATGAAACTGGGGCGCCTGGGTGGCGCAGTCGGTTAAGCGTCCGACTTCAGCCAGGTCACGATCTCGCGGTCCGTGAGTTCGAGCCCCGCGTCGGGCTCTGGGCTGATGGCTCAGAGCCTGGAGCCTGTTTCCGATTCTGTGTCTCCCTCTCTCTCTGCCCCTCCCCCATTCATGCTCTGTCTCTCTCTGTCCCAAAAATAAATAAATGTTGAAAAAAAAAATTAAAAAAAAAAAAAAAAAAAAAACTATTTAAAAAAAAAAAGTATGAAACAAGGATTTATCTGGATTTACTAATCTTCTATATGTGTTCTATTTTAGTTGCTGAGTGTCATGACCATTTTATATTTTTCCCCAGGGAATCTGGAGGGTTCACTTGGGTTTCTCAGTAGTTGTAATGATTTGAAAGCCTCCTACAATCTAGTGTTTTTTTTGTCATTAAAATTTAAATACTCCTCAAGGATCTCCTGTACTATATGCTTAAAATATAGTTTTTAGCTTTAAAATTTTCATAGCAAAATACATTACTGTGACGTGTTGCCACAAATCCATATTAAATTTGGGGGGAGAAAAGGGGGTAATAACAAGAAAGATCTTTGGAGTAATTTCTACCTGTTTGAAAGTTGGAGAGAATCTTTTCATTTATTTGTTCACCAGAGTGTTGAAGCTAACACCTTCTCAGATCAGAGTCTGAGATTTTAAATGCTGAGATAGGTAGTATTCTTTTTATCAATTTTGGCCCATTTATTCTGTGAGCATATTTTTTAGAGATGACTTAAATCTCTCCTCAATGGATAAAAATTAGTCTCTTGTCCAAAAGCAAGTAAATATTTACTTTTTTTTGCTAGCTCTGACAATAACATAGTCATTTAAATTTTTTTGTGCTCTGTACCATAAGGTAAAGAAGTGTATATTTTATGCTATTTACTTAGCTTTTAGGCAAAGCAAATACCATTTACTGGTGTGGTAAATACATAGAAAGCTTATTCTGCAGTTTTTTAAAGTGACAAACTACCACTATCTAAAGTTTATTTGACAAACCATTTTATGTAAATAATTGGTATGTTATTTTCCACTGATGTTTTGATGGCTGACTCACTTTTTCTTTAAATATTAAGTCATCAGTATTGTTGAATGCTGTTTAATGATTTTGGATCAGAGTAAGGCCTAGAAAAATTGTACCTTATGAGAATAATAACTAGGTAGTAAGTTTGAGAGCCAGCATACTGTAGTGGTGAAAAATATGGACTCTGGATTCAGAGAAATGGGTTCTAAATCCATCTCTGCCACGGTGCAGTCTTGGGAAACTTCTTGAACTATTTGAACCCTGTTTCATTTTATATATATATATATATATATATATATAAATTTATTTTTCCAGGATATGTCTTTAAATTGTGGTAATCTTATGTGTTAGTTTTTAAAGACTTTAGCATGAAATTGATACATTTTAAGGTTTACTTTAAAAACGAAAAGTTGGTGTAACAGCTTTGAAAGCAAGTATAAATGATATTAATACCAATACTAATGTTTCCTTTAGGAGAAATTTTATGTGTGCGAGTATAGCTGTTCATGTTCTGTGAACCAGCTCTATATTCTGTTGTCTTTTAAGATAGAAATATATGGACCCACTAGTAATTGGAAAGTAATTATATTAGGAAATAAATACATGTGGTTTTACTGACGTATAGGACTATTAAGTAATCTTTGGGTAATTCAGGAAATATTTAGATAGAATATCTAGAAAACTCTTTTTAACAGTATAAAAACACAATTTTATACAGACCTATGTTCTGTAAGTTTATTTTATAAAAATAATGTGTACAATTTTCCCATGAAACCTATGGCTAGTCCAAAATTATTCTGAAATTAAGAGAACGAGTATTCCATCCTTTCTTTCTCTTTAATTTTTTCTCTTACTTTCTTGAAATATAAAGTCTTTTCCAGAATATTTTACACACACAGACACACACACAAACACACATACAAATAGACACTGTATGTATTTCCCCTTCCTGTTTTAAAAAATACTGATAGATGGGGAGGGGATTTGTTTACCTTAGATCTGTAAGTCTTATAACATCACTGTAATACTTATGATAGTCATTGATGTTCAGAATATTGAAATATGTTATTGTGGTTTCAGAGCTAAAAAAAAAGCATTAAATAAGTTCATTATAATTTGTTTAGTTGAAAGCTTTTCAGTGAATAGGAAAAAAATTCCTTTCTTGTTTAAATGTGTGGTTAGTTACAGCACCTTATACTAGTTTATTAAGATTATAGTGTCCTTTTATGGTAAAAAAAATTTTTATTCTAACAATCTTTGATTTTTGTGGCATTTGGTCTGTATATGTAAGCCAAGATCACTTTAGAAATATTAACTACAACTACCATCAGTTGAGTCCTTATTCTCTGCCAGTCAGCATTCTAAATGTATTGAATGTACCAAGTCAGCTGATCCTCACAACAATCTGGTGAGGTAGATGCTATTATCTCCTCTCAGATGAGGAAACTGAACCATAGAAAGGTTCTTTAATTTATCCAAGGTGACTCAGCTAGTAAGTATTACAGCTAGGACTCAAAAACTGGTATACATACTGTCCAGTATGTAATTGCTGTCTCCCCCAGATTTTACAATCAGGGTAACTATTCTAGTAATACATAAATATAGTCATCATATTTAAAGAACACAGAATAAAGTGTTGACTCTTGCCTGAACATTGGCTGAGCTCTATAATTAGGATTGGGGTTGTATTAGGCTGTACAGGAAGGTATCACCATAACAGATGTGTAGGCATTAGTAGTACCAGAAATGGTAATCAGGATTTTAAAACCTGAGATTAAAAATATTTATATTCGTTAATAAATCATTTTTTACTTTTTCAGTGTGGTTTCAGTAATACTGGTTGGAGTTTTGGTAAATTAGCATTTCTCAGGACAGTCTTGATGAGATCAGCTCAGATGTAGTTTGATTCAATGATGATTTAATAATGATATACCTAAAATCCATTAGAATGTTCTCACAAGGACTAATTTTGTTTTCTTTTTTCCCCTTTAGTAAAATAAAACAGGGTCTGTTACCTAGCTTGGAAGATTTGCTGTTCTATACAATTGCAGAAGGACAAGAGAAAATACCTGTTCATAAATTTATTACAGTAAGTTTTTGTATTCTTCTATTTTAAACTTTTTGAAAATCAGTAATACTGAATCCATAATACAGGAATATTGAAATGTAGTCTTAAAGATCATCTGACCTGTAGATTCTGACTGACACTGTTTCTCTTATTATGTTTTCAAATTTTCATCATGCTCATTTCAAGGTAATCAGTGAAAGAAAATGAAAGAAACAATGAGAAACTTGTCCAGAAAGTGGGTAATAGTGACCCTAAAATGCCCATATACATATTCAGGTTCTGGGTAGAAGTTTTTATATACAGGAATAAAAACTTGTAGTTGGAATAAGCATATACATTATTTGCACTATGTATTTACAAACTCTTATTTTTTTAAAAACAGGCACTCAAATCTACAGGATTGCGAACGTCTGATCCCAGGTTGAAAGAGTGTATGGATATGTTAAGATTAACTCTTCAAACAACATCAGATGGTGTCATGCTAGACAAAGATCTTTTTAAAAAGTAAAAAATTTCTGCCAAACCTTTAATGGTGATTTGCTATGCTATATGGTGATTTTTCTTTTAAAACAAAATTGCATCTTTGAAGGCCAGTGCTTCCTGTGTAACTAAAAAAAATAAGGGGGGAGATTTATAAACATCAATTGTTTGAAGAACATGGTGCACATAGGTTCTATAATACACGGGCTAAGGGTAGACTTTCTTTGAAATTGCTCTATGGTGTAGGCATGGATGTTTCCAGTTTACAATTATCTGGAGATTGCATTCAGTTTGAATAGAGCACACTCTGTCTTGTCACAGCTTAAATTGATCTCCAATTCATATGCCTGTCTTGCAGGCATTTTCAATATGGTCTCTGTTTCTTTCCTACAAGGTGATTTAGATGACATAAAATGAGAAGGCTTCAGACAGCATGTATTCCTTAGATTCACATATCCCCATTGTCTGTCTCTCTCCTCTCTTCAGACATATTAATACCTAGGCTTTTGACTATTTTCATTTCCTTCAAAATATTTAAAAACTAAAGAACACTTTGGAGATTAATGCCTTGATTTGGTTGAATGAGCATGTTTATTTTGATTTTCCTGGTTTTGCCTATTTGTTTACTATTTCTCTTCATTAATATGTTCCTCCTATTTGTCTGATTTCTTAAAGATTTAAAAGATAGCATGTTTCCCAAAGAGGTAAACGGTATTTTAAACTACTAAGAGTTAGGTAAAAACCAGTATAAAACTGTAAACACTACTGTAACACATTGGCTTTTTCCAGACCATAGGCTTAGGTTGAGGTAGACCAAAGAATTCCAACATCTACCTTGAAAGTTTATTTGTATGTATATATGTATTTTTATTTATTTTTCTTTTATTTTCTTTGGGGACTAGATGATTTGTCTTAGATATCTCCTGAAAATATCCAAGAGTGTTAAGTCATTTGAAGGTATAAGTATTTAAACTCCTTCAGAGTTTCCTGGCATGCTGTGAAGCACTGCCAACAGTTCAGGATTCTTGTCTTTTCACTACGAGGTTCTTGATTCTATTAACTCAGCTGACCTTATAGAGATTTTAGGTTCATGTTGGAAATGGTGTTAGGAATTTTTTTTGAATTATCAAAACATGTTTCTTTGTGCAGGGGAGGAAATAAATCATTTCTTATTAGCTGTGTCTTGGAGTAAAGATTATTTTATTTTTAGTGTTCGTAAACTGTCTGTGCAAAGTACTCTTGATTATGTTGCCTTCTGAAGCATTGTTTTGGTATATCTGAGAATGAAGTTGTCAAAGAGATGGTAGGGAGATCTGTTGATAAAAGTATGAGGAATTATTTTGGAATTTGAAATGAAAGCAGTATTTTATACCTTTTTAGTACTGTTTAAAATTTTTGTGCTTTATAAACATGTTGCTGTGTTTATATGAAATTAAAAGTAACTTAAATCTACTGATTATGAAGCCAGGAAACATAATCAGAAAATTTTCTGCCCATAATTATATAAAAGAGTAACAATTACCATTATTTTAATGCTAATCTTTAAAATGATTTTAATGCTAATCTTTTTTTTTTTTTAAGTTGATGATTGTAATATAGGCAGTTCCCAACTTGATAAATGCTTAGTGCTGTGTATGTGCAGGCAATGGAAAAAGTCTCAGTCTGAAGGCATAATGATTTCTCTTTTCATCCCTAGAATGAAGTGATTCAAAACTTCTATTAACCTTTTCAGGTCACCTAGAAAGGTGTCCAGAGAGGTTTTTTTTTTTTTTTTTTCAAAAGAAATTTTCTTGTTTAGTGTTGCCTTAAGTAAACTATCTCATCTCCATGCAGGTGGGAAGGAGATGTTACGGTGGAATTCATTTTCCCAGAGAAATAATTTATAAAGGTAGATAGGTTTGGTTGAAGTCAGTGTGTTGATTTTTCACCTAGAAAACATTGTTGATTAATATATTTAGCCTTTGAGGATAATCTGAGAAATAACTATTATGTACGGCTTTTTTTTTAATGGGAAAATGAGTTCTAAGCATGCTGTTTGGAGCATAACCTATTTGAAAGTTGGAGACTGCCTGTACCCATCTAGATAATCAATTGTTTTTAATGCTAATAATCCTTAAAACTAGAAGTGGAAAATTGTATTGAAAACAAATGCATTATTTATTTATGCATTTTTAGCCATATAAATATTAGAATTATTTTTTTTAGAGAGACAGAGCATGAACAGGCGAGGGGCAGAGAGAGAGGGAGACACAGAATCGGAAACAGGCTCCAGGCTCTGAGCCATCAGCCCAGAGCCCAACGCGGGGCTCGAACTCACGGACCGTGAGATCGTGACCTGGTTGAAGTCGGACGCTTAACCGACTGCGCCACCCAGGCGCCCCTAGAATTATTTTTATGTGTGGTCATAATTTTTTGGTCTTTTTATTTTGGAGGAAAATGAATGGTAGTCTTTTGCATTTGTATATTTGATTTCCTTTAAAAAGTCACATCCATTATGTTATTTTACTAATGAAAAATTGTGAGTATTATCTAAAACATGTTAATTACAGTTGTTAATCATAAACACTTAAGAAGATGATTATTATTCCCAGTTTACAGATGAGCAGACTGAACAAAGCTTGAGAAAGATGTGACTTGCTGAAAAGCATGAGCCCTTCCTCCTCCTCAGAATTCATTTTATATAGGACTTCTAATTTTCTAGTTCCATTCATGACATCCATATTAAAATAACTCCAAAGAAAAACACTTGCTACCTGTTAATGTTCATCAGTTTGAAGTAGATACTCTTTTGAGTGGTAAGATTGCCAGTGTTGGCCACAGTAATTCACCAGTGAAGTCAGTCACCACAACTTTACCAGTACCTTCTGATAGTTTCACTGGCTGTACAGTTTTGTTAATTATAAAGCTTCCTTTTAAAGGTGCTGATTGATTTTAAATAATTGAATAGTTAGTAGTAGGTTAATAATTTAAGTTTGTTCAGCAGTCCTCATATTTCTTCATGTATAACTTCTTGAAAAATGAGGATTTAGGTTTGATACAGATACAGTGATTTAAGATCAGGAATTGTCTTAACTTTTTTCTGCTGAGAAATGTGTTCTTTAGTATATATTTCTTATAAGTCTCGTGTACAAATTGAATTGCTATTTAAAACATTAGATATTAAATCAGCACACTTAATTTTTAGATTAACATTGAAACTATAAGAAAATAATTTTATCAAAATTTATTGAAGTAAATGTCATCTCTGGGATGTCAGTTATTTCTATGTCTATTGGTTAGTAATGGAAATTAGGACTATAATTTTTTCATGGTATAATTGGGGCACATCTTTATCAGTGGAAAACCAATATTACTTTAAATCAGTGTTTTAATTTTATATTGACAAAGCTACTGTATTCTCTGAATTTTTATTAATAGTTAAAAAGGTGAAATCTAGCTTTTAATTTTAATTGATTCATTGAGAACAATTTTAATTAAAATATTGAGTCATAAAAATTTCTTTATTTAGAATTAATGCAAGTTATTTACTTACAGGACAGTTTTCTTACCTCCTAAGTGAGGAAATCATCTTTCTTTAAGTGTTGATGTTTTCAGGGTTGAAGAGATGAATAATACTTGAGACTTTTTTTTTTTAATTGACAATCATATCATTTACCTGTGAGGAATCCAGTTATATAAATAACTTCCCATAGTCAGTGGTTCGACTTTGTCTTACTGAGTTACTTAGAGTCTCTTAAGAAGATTAGCTTACAGTATATGATTGACTGTAACCTATTTACAAAACTCTTCTTTAAGGTTATAGTAATATATTAATTTTCTGGCTTAAGTCATGCTCTCCCATCTTTTTAAATAGTTTTTAACAATGAGACCTTTTATTCTACGTTGTATTATATATTTTATAGCGAATAGATTTATACAATTTAACTTTTTTCGTAATTCATATAATAAAAGTTAATTACTATACTAGTTTATATATAATTTTATTTAAAATAATATTTATACAAGCATTTGAATAAGTATTTTATTCTAGTCTGACTAAACAAGATTGATTTTATCTCCACTTGTTAGCTTAGAAATATAGGTTTTTCAAACTAATTCAGGGAAAATATGTTAAAATACAGAAAGTTTAGGTTTTTTTGTGAAATACTACTAATAGTTATATAGGAACTAAAGGATGTATTTATGAAGTTACTTACTGGTTAAATAAACAGGGTCTCAACTATGACATATTAAAGTCCAAGTTTTGTTAATCAGATGTCATGCTGAATGCTTATCAACTCTGGTAGACTTAAGAAACTTGTCTTTTAGATGCTCTTGATATTTAACCTGGTGGAATGCTCTGCTATTTTAATCTTTGACACAGTTTTTAGGCAATCTAATTTATTTATTTAACTTGTTCAACAGCTTACAAGCAACTGCATGAAAGACTGCTTGAAGGAAAGGAAATAATATAGAAAGTATAATTTTTATGGATTTTAGTTTGTTGTATGAAATGATGAATTTCTCTATTTAAATATTTTCCTAATTAATATTGTTATCACCAAGTATACTAGTATTTGAAAGGCACCCAGTCAATTAATTTTTTTCTTACATTCCACAGATGTGTTCAAAGCAACATTGTTTTGTTGACACAAGCCTTTAGAAGAAAGTTTGTCATTCCTGACTTTATGTCTTTTACCTCTCACATTGATGAGTTATTTGAAAGTGCTAAAAAGCAGTCTGGAGGAAAGGTAACATTTTTGATGTGAATATTTTCCTAAACCAGTTATTCAATAAATTCACTCAACTTGAGTTATAGAAATTACAGTTGTGGAGTTTTCTTGTGTTTTGCTAATTAAGAAATTTAAGTTGAAGCTGCTGGATTAAATTATTTTAAAATACTTTATATGTTCAACTTTGTTTTTGGGCTACAAAGAAATCTTAAGTTTAAGAATTCTTTTTCATTTTCAGATGATTGAAATGGCTGTAAATCTTTAATAAAAAAGTAACTTTATTAAGAATTTCTTTTTTTTTTTTTTTTTTAATTTTTTTTTTCAACGTTTATTTATTTTTGGGAGAGAGACAGAGCATGAACGGGGGAGGGGCAGAGAGAGAGGGAGACACAGAATCGGAAACAGGCTCCAGGCTCTGAGCCATCAGCCCAGAGCCTGACGCGGGGCTCGAACTCACGGACCGCGAGATCGTGACCTGGCTGAAGTCGGACGCTTAACCGACTGCGCCACCCAGGCGCCCCAAGAATTTCTATACATGTGATATCCTCGAACATTAAATGTGTCTAGTTTTAAAAATTCTCTAATAAGGACTGTTTTAATTTTTTTCTGTGTCATACTATGAAACCCTGCTATCATAACTTTGATTAAAGAAATTCTGTTTCTTTATCTTTAAAAAAAATGAAGTCTTAGTTTCTTTTTTAAACTGTGCTTTTCTAGAAAGAGAATGCATTGAAAAACATACAGGATGACGGAGACTGAGAGAAGTCAGTTAAATCTCACCTATAATCCTCAAGTCTCTTCTGCTTTTAGTTTTTATGAATATTGTTATAAAAGATAGACCACAAAGCCACTGAGTACTATGAAATAGCCTGGCTAAATTGAGATAAATTTTTTGGTAGAAGAAATACTATTTGCTTGTATTCTGTTATTTTGTTCTGATTATTTTGTATAGGTTGCGGATTATATTCCTCAGCTAGCCAAGTTCAGTCCTGATTTGTGGGGTGTATCTGTGTGTACAGTAGATGGACAGAGGTGAGTTTATTTCAAATTCATAAAAACCAACTTTAAGCCTTAAATTTTGCATAACAGTGAGCATGAAGGAGAAAGGAACATCTCCCTTCTATGATGGAAATTAGCCCTAACATGACAGAAATTCAAGAATGTAAATAAGTTTAGATTTTAATTTAATTTCTAAAAGCTTAACTGAAATAGTCTTTAAATTTTATGAGGCATTTCATCTTTTTCACAGTTGTAGCCTTCTTATTTGAGTCTGTATTGTTCAAGTACCTGCAATTACAGTTTCCTTAGGAAAAGCAGACTTGTCAAAACATGAAATTCTTCACTAAGGAACTGACCACTAATAAAATGTGTTCCCATTTCTCAGCTTAACATTAGTTACCCAGTGTGTTATTGTCTTTGTTCTTCATGCTCCTGATGTGAGTGGCATGATAGTTAAGATCGTACGGAATGATAATAATTTATTTCCGTCTATCATTTGCCAAGTCAAGAGTCATTTGCAAGCTTGTAGAATCTTGTGAGTTCATGAAAGCGATCTTTGGGAAGTGTTCACACTGTAGGCACAGCCACTGACAAATGAGGATATAGAAGAATTATAAAAAGGATAATGAGGTGAAGGCACTTCAAAGAGACTGATTGGTTTTAAAATCAATGAATTATGTGAAGCCCTTGAAAAATTGATAAAGTTCTGGAATATTTTTTCAAGAATGACTCCTTTTATTATGCTGTGAGTCAGTCATAGAGATTTATGATTGTGTTATAATTTAGTTTTGTCAAGTCTGAAAAATTATGCCAAAAAAGAAAAATCAATTTTTTAAATTCATTTGAAGACTTAGCTCAGAGTTATAATCTTCGTGTTTTATTTTTGTTTTAGTTTTTACTAAGGTAGTATTTCTTTATAAAAATATTTTTTTAAGTTTATTTATTTTGAGAGAGGGAGAGAGAATTTCAGGTAGGTTCTGCTCTGTCACCATGGAGCCCAATGCAGGGCTTGAACCATGAACCTCAGATCATGACTTGAGCCAAAAGCAAGAGTCGGACACTTAAGTGACTGACCCATTCAGACGCCTGGTGTTATTATTTTTTTTAATTAAATGTAATTTGCATAAAATAAGGTGTGCAACCCCTAAATATTTACAGTTTGATGAATTTACATCAGAGATGTAATTTTGTCTTAAGTTCTGTTAAAACCACAAGTCATTTAACCTTATAATGCCTCATCTTTTTAAAGATAATATCCCAGTTATAGCTTTTCCTCCAATTTATTAAGTTTTGATCTTTTAAGTACCTTCATTCTAAGTGATCTTTTTATTTTTTTACTAATTTTCTTTCTCAAGTATTTACAGTAAAAAGATATATGGCTTAGCCCATTCATTTTTAAGGTACCTGAGGCCCACAGTTTATCTAATATTGGCAGAGGTAAAACTAATACCTAAGTTTCTTAACTTCTAGTTTGTTGTTGCCTCCATTATGATAAGCTTTTATCCTAATCTGGACCTGTAAAATGTGTTAAACAGTCATTGTGTGTTGAATTAAATGTTGGGTGCTATGAAAGGACACAAATACACGAGCAGACATGGCTTTATTCTTATGGATCAAATTCTAGTTGGGAGTGATAGTCCTGTTTTTGTATTTGGAGGAAATGGTTATCGTGTAATAGGAATTTTTATGTTTGGAGGAAATGATTATAACACAAAGCTTGTACTTGCACATGATTTCTCTCCTTTTTTTTTTAAGAGTGAGAGAGCAAACAGGCATGTGTTCATGCATGTGCATGAGCGTGGGAGGGGCAGTGGGGAGGGTGAGAGAATGTTAAGCAGGCTCCAGGCTCAGTGTGGAGCCTGACGAGGGGCTCGATCTCACAACTGTGAGATCATGGCCTGAGCTGAAATTGAGAGATGGACACTTAACTGACTGAGCTACTCAGGCGCCCCGTTCTTTCTCTTCTTAAAGATTCTGTGTGTGTAAAGATGATTCTTTTAGTTTAGTTTTCTTATGTGGATAATTGTAAAAGTTGATTTCAGACTAGAACATATGTATTTTTATTTATTTAAAAAAAATTTTTTTTTTTAATTTATTTTTGAGAGCAAATGGGGAAGGGGCAGAGAGAGAGAGAGAGAGACAGAGTCCACAGCAGGCTCCCGGCTCTGAGCTGTCAACACAGAGCCCGATCTGGGACTCGAACTCACGAACTGTGAGATCATGACCTGAGCCGAAGTCAGACACTCAATTGACTGAGCTACCCAGGCACCACAGACATATGTATTTTAAATCCAAAGGTAATAAGACAGGCTCTTGTCAGGTTTTAGAATGATTGTCAAGTTGGACTTAGAGTCTGAATTAGAAATTATTCATAAACATAGGAAAAATATTATATACTTTTGCTGTCTATGCATGTGTAGTTATATTCCATAATATACTTAGAGGAGAGGTGGCCCTCTGATGTTTCTTTGCCCTCTGATGTCTCCTCTAATCCTTTTTTGCCCAGGAGTGGTTATTAACAGTACCCAGTTTCACTATGAATGAGTTTCACTCTGAATGAATGAGTGCCTGGTCTGTGTTGGGGCAAAGTTCAGGGCATCTGGGATACCAGTGAATAAAACAAAAGATCTCTGCCCTTGTGAAGTTTACATTATAACAGGGTCAGTCACAGGTTTTCCATTTTTTAACCTATTCTATATTCATATGCATCCCAGTTTGGTAACATAAAGCTTTCTTTTTCTATTGTTTAGAAGTGATAATGGTGGTAACGATGCCATTAATGCCAGCTCTAACACAGTTTATAAAACTGGATGCTATTTCTTTTAACAGGGCTGGAATTGTGCATAGATATGGATGAGGCATTTACAGGCAAGGTTTCAGAGAATGGTGTTGAATCCAAACTGAACTTTGTTTAAAAACTAATAAGCATGGTGTAGTCATGATGAAAGCTATGAGTGAAGAGGTGGTGACTGATTTCTAAAAGGACTAGTTCATTTTATGTGATTTAATACAGGTAGGAGTAAGGAGGGCCATACCCTCTTGCCCTCACAGGAAAATTTTCACATTACTTAGTTATTATCTAATTCTGAACCATTCTATTACCCGAATAGTTTTAAGCTTTTGCCTATTTTGCAGCATTCTTCTTAAAATTTATATTTATTCTTTAATATCCAAGTTAACTTGTGGTTGAATTATGGGAAAACCTTTGTAAATTAGAATTAACATGTAAAAATAACTCCAGTTATTTAGATATTTTTCCAGTTGATTTTAATTATTTTTTAAATCTACTTTTAAATAGGCATTCTATTGGAGATACCAAAGTTCCATTTTGTCTTCAGTCCTGTGTAAAACCTTTGAAATATGCAATTGCTGTTAATGACCTTGGAACAGAATATGTGCATCGATATGTTGGGAAAGAGCCAAGTGGATTAAGATTCAACAAACTGTTTTTAAATGAAGATGGTAAGAATTACATAAAAGCTAGAAAAAGAAATACCTCATTTTCCTATTTAAATCTAAGAAGTTGTTTTTTTGCTTTTTTGAAGAAAATTAAAAGTATTAATATTTTTGTGTTCATTTCTCGTGGAATTTCTGTAAAACCCATATTACTACTGTTAAAAATGTTATTTTAGGCTTCTCATACCACTGGAAGTGAGCTAGGGGAAGATGAGAGCAGGGAGTAAAGTTTTGACTTCACTTCATAAACACGTATAGGAGAATATCTTGTAGTAAAATCTCACAGTATCTGAGATTTGCTCTAAAATAATTCAGTGAGTATAGCTGGGAGTGCTGGGTGTGATTATAACTATATGTTGGTAATTCTTAAGGCTAACTGTAAGGTGTTTCTATTGTATTCTTTCTACATTTCTATATTATATGTATTTGAAAACTTCCAACATAACAAGTTTTTATGGTGGCCCCGGTTGAACTAATGAATAATTGTGCTTTTTTTCTCTTTCATAACATTTAATATTTGAAAGAACCATCTTGCATTAAATAGTTGGATAACTAACAAGTCTTACTACTTAATGGGAATTCAAAAGGAAGTGGGAGGACAAAGGTAGTTATTTAGTACTTTTGATCTGGTAGAGGTTTTAAATCTAAACACCAGCCTGTGTATTGGTTGCTATATTTTAATCTTTCAGACATATGCTAAGTTCTTTTTTTTTTTTTTTTTTTTAAGTTTAGTCATTTATTTTGAGAGAGAGCGCGTGTGTGAGTGGGAGAGGGACAGAGAGAGAATCCCATGAAGATTCCATACTGTCAGGACAGAGCGTAACTCAGGGCTTGAACTCATGAACTTTGAGATCATGACCTGAATCAAAATCAAGAGTCAGAAGCTTAACTGACTGAGTGAGCCACCTGCCCCACCCCACTGGGTTCCTCACTTGTGTGTGATGAGTTAATACAGAATTGAAGAAAGAAAGAGTGAAGGAATTCAGTGTTGCAATAATGGTTGTGAGAAATACTCTTTTGTATTTTTTGTTTGTGCTGGGTACAAAATGAAATGTGCCTTATACTTATTATTGTTTTATTTTTTTAATGAAGTTAAAAGAATGATATTTCTTTGGCTTTTCTATTTTGTTTTTGGAGCTACTACATTTTCTTACCTACTTTACCATAATCTTTCTGTCTTGATGCTACATTTGATTTTATGGAGATTATCATAAACTAACAATTTCAGGAAGGACATCATATGCAGAAGTACCTTATTTATCTATTAAACTCACTGACATGCAGATTTAATATGGAAATAATTGATATTTTTTTCTATTAAGATTAAACATTTTATAAGAAAAATTAATATTTTCCTATGTAAGTCAGAATAGAATAATCTAATTTTTTTTTTAATGTTTATTATTTATTTTTGAGACAGAGAGAGGCAGAGCATGAATGGGGGAGGGTCAGAGAGAGAGGGAGACACAGAATCTGAAGCAGGCTCCAGCCTCTGAGCTGTCAGCACAGAGCCCGACGTGGGGCTTGAACTCACAGACCGTGAGATCATGACCTCAGCCAAAGTCGGATGCTCAACTGACTGAGTCACCCAGGCGCCCCAGAATAGAATAATCTAGGTGGTTCTGGTGAATTGATTGATTTTGAGAGGTATTTAAAGAATAGAAATGAGCAAATATAAGAATTTGAATGTGAAGACATATTTGGGAAACAAAAATAAATAAAATGGGCATGGAGTAAGTGAACTTAACATTATAGTAATATATTTTTTTGCTCTGTACATTTATGATTTTAAAAATTATAGTTTACTGATAGTAATCTATAAGAAAAAAATCAAGATAAGAACTCAGGAATTTAGCACTGGTTTATAATAATTGAGATATGAAGTTTAAAAAGAGGTTTTACCTTGATATTCTTTGACTTTTTCCAAGCTAGTACCTCCCACCTGAGCCAATACCAGAGTCTTACAAGTAATGGGAAAGTGAAGACCTCACTATTCCCCTTCTTGCTGAGTTCTCCATAGGTTCTGTGCTCTAGAATTTTGGTTTTAAAACTAGCCTCAGCAAAAAAACTATAGGTCTTCTTCATGTTTAAAACTTCAGTAGTAGGTTTATGGTGAAATTATATGCCTTATGTGTCTGTGTGTCTGTGCATTTAGCATTATTATAAAATCAAAAATAAAACAAATGTATTTATATTGTCCTAACTTTATAAGATTGTAGTAAGTTAAGAGTAATATAAATATAATGGATAAAGAAATTATAGTACTCTTTTTTATTTTAGCGAGAAAGAGAGAGTGCGTGAGTAGGGGAGAGGGGCACAGGGAGAGTGTGAGAATCCCAGGCAGGCTCCATGCTCAGCATGGAGCCCAACACAGGGCTCTGTCCCACAACCCTGGGATCGTGACCTGAGCCAAAATCAAGAGTTGGACCCCCAACTGACTGAGCCACACAGGCGCCCTATAGTACTCTTGTAATATTGGTAGTTTTACAACATAAAAATGTTTTAGTCCTCTGGTAGAAAGTTGGTTGATACTTTCTGTCATTATAGATGAGGAAATAAGTTACTTGATGGAGATACCAATTTTGGAAACAACCATCTCCTAGTGAAGTCTTTATCTATCTTATAGTAGAAATTAGATTAATCAACACATACATATATAGTCTTCTTCCCCTGTTATTAATAGCTGTGGAGGGTAAATGGACCTGGGTTCTTGAGTAACTTATCTAGCTAATACTAAAGGATATGGGTAACAATTACATACATCTAATGCATGGAGAAAAAAGACAGACTTTTATAAGTGTGTAATTGACAGAAGACAAAATGTATATGTTAGTTATATTGTAGAGGATTTGAGAAAGAAGAGGAGTTGAATTAATTTACGTGAGGAAGACAGGACTGAATTGTATATACAAAGAACAAAGTTTGGTTGCTTGGGTAAGTGGGTGGTGTGGGATTAAACCATATATAGAATATACTTTAATTTTTATATGGTTCTTAAAAATTCCAATATAATACTTAAAATATAAATATTCATATTGAACTGTGAAATTAATACTTTTTAGGTTCTTCAGTATATGCATTAGCAACTTTGACTTAGCCTCGGTTATGAACCTCATCTTTTTAAGGTTCATATTTGATTAGCAGTTTGAAAAGCTTTTGCTAGTATAATATAAAAGAACTTTCTGCATGTTTTTTTTCCTTTGGAAAGAATAAGTACTTACTAAAACAGTTTTGTACCTTCTAGTTAAAAGTGTCCATAAATTTCAGATGTGGCCTATGACCATTTTGTCATTATACCAAGCTAATATATGCCATTACTTCAGTTGATAGCATTTATTAATTAGCTTAAGTTTTATTTCTGCTGTCATGAGTATTTTTAAATTAAAAATTCTAAATGGAACCTTTTACCTCTCCCCTCCTCCCTACAGTGGAGAAGGAAACAAGTAGGTTTCACAGTGATAGGTTTTAGACTGAAGTTTCAGACTGCAGTAATGCTGGTGTTATATTATAATATCTGGTGTATTTCCAAATACTGAGGTATCTGCCTTTTGAGCCAAAGGCAGAGAGAACAGTTGCTTACCTCTGAAAATTGCACTGTCATCCCATGAAATGCTTTTAGTGTTCTTTGAAAGATCTTCTTGAATGCAGCTTATGTGGTATTTGCAGAATCTTTATGATTTAGAAAATACTAAGTGCACACATTTATGTGGTACCATTTGGAATATACACATTTAACTGCCTTCTGAGGCCCTAGGGCCTATACATGATAATGTCAAAAAACCATGAATGGACAGACACATAAACATATACACAAATACAAGTATAAACTAATTTAGCACAGCCTGATTTCTATATTCTATTTTCTGTCTCTGTTGTTTTGTTTTTTTTTTTCAGGTGAACAATACTGGAAAATTTTTGTTCCTTGGCTCCCTCTTGCCATGTAGTACTTTGACACTAATTGCTCTCATTTTGTATGATCTCAGAGAAAGCAAACTTCTCTTAGCAAGATTTGGAATAGGTGAAATCTTGATTGTAAATACTCTGGTATTATACTAAATTTTAACATTTGGAACTAATTGTCATCATGGTTAACCCAAAATGTATAGTGTTTAAGGCATAGCTACTAAATCACATTGTTGATCTTACGTTGAGGGAAACTGGTAGACTGTATGTTACCTAATTTTTTGTCTTTCTTTTTTAAATGAACGAAAATTTTAACAACTATATTGGGAAGTACTTTATATGCCATATAATTCACCCATTAGAGTGTACAATTCAGTGGCTTTTAGCATATTCACAGAATTGTGCAACCATCACCAAAATTCATTTCAGTTTTTAATTTTTATTTGAGAGAGAGTGAGCATGAGAGTGGGAGGGGCAGAAAGAAAGGGGGGAGAGAGAAAAACCTAAGCAGGCTCTGCGCTGTCAGTGGAGAGCCCAATGCAGGGCTCGAACTCATGAACTGTGAGATCATGACCTGAGCCAAAGTCAGACGCTTAACAGACTGAACCACCCAGGCAATTTTGGGACACTTTTGTCACCCCAAAAAATACACTGTACCCAGTGAGTACCCATTTTAATTAGTTGAATACCCATATGTCTTCTACCCCTGGCACTAGTTATCTACTCTCTGTCTCTATAGATTTGCCTATTCTGGACATTATATATAAATGAAATCCTATGATATTTGGTCTTTTATGACTGGCCTGTCTTACTTAGCATGTTACTTTTAGAATTTTTTTTTTTAATGTTTATTCATTTTGGAGAGACAGGGAGACACAGAATCTGAAGCAGGCTCCAGGCTCTGAGCTGTCAGCACAGAGCCCGATGTGGGACTCGAACCCACAAACTGTGAGATCATGACCTGAGCCAAAGTCAGACGCTTAACTAACTGAGCCACCCACATGCCCCGGCACGTTACTTTTAAAGTGTCTTTATGTTCTGTATGTATGTATCAGTATGTATGTATCAGTACTTCATTTTTTAAAAATTGCTGAATAATGTTATCTTCTGTTGGTAATAATACCACATCTTATGTATCTACTCATCAGTTGACAGGACGTTTGAGTTGTTTTTCACCTTTGACTATTATCAGTAATACTTCTGTGAACACTGGTGTATAAGTATTTGTGTGCATGTACATATTTATTTCTCTTGACTGTATACCTGGGAATGGAATTGCTGGGTCATATGGCAACTCTTTGACAGTTGAAAACTGCTAGGCTGTTTTCTAGAGCTCAGAATTATTTAGTCATAGGTTCATCTTACAGAAGATAACTTGCTTAAAATTTAAGGAGGCTAATAATGTAGCAATAACTTAATAAATTCTGTTGGATTTGTCAAGTTAGATAAGAACTTGTTCCCCCCCACTCAAATGAAGCACTACCACAAACAGATAAATTAGTAATCGTACTTTTAAATAAATGTTTTCAGTGCCCTAAGAGGTTTGTGTTTGGCATTTGTGCAATGCCATGAATGGAATGTAATCAGTTGAGATTTGAAATTCTGTTTGTTGTTAAGAATTAGAAGAGGTAGGATTTGAGATGAATTTACATTTTAAGTAATTTTTAAAATAAATACATCTTTATTGTCAGGAAATATAGAAAGAACAGAATACAATTCAAATCCCCTGTAATATTTTTATAATAGATATATCTCTTTATAGTGTTTCTGTTTTCTTTTTCTGCGTGTGTATGTGTATATACATAAAAACAAAAATAAAGCACTTTTAAAAAGCAAGATAGGCTTTTTTCAAGGTTATTTTTATAGTAACGTTGTATGAATGCCTAAGGATGTGCCATATACATTTAAGCATTTTGTGTGTGCTAATTCATTCAAGCCTTATGTTTCAATGAGATGTTGGTGCTATTTATTACTCCCAATTTACAGTGATAAAATTGAGGCACAATGAAATTCAGTTACTTGCTCAAGATCAGATAGGTAGTAAATGGTAGAGTTAGGAAATTTGGATGTACTCTTATACTATTATTCACTATCTTTCTGTACATGAATCTTTGTTTTCCTATATAATTATTATGGAAGTGTATTACTGGTTTGTTAAGTAAGTGACTAAATGTATCCCTTCACCCTTTCTTTCCCTCCCCCCAAAAGAACTGTAACATTATCTTACATACAGAAAATACATTTTCACGAGAAGTACCTATATAATGGAACACGATATCAAATATTCGAAAAAATGCTGTTGTTTTTATATTTTACAGATAAGCCACACAATCCTATGGTAAATGCTGGAGCAATTGTTGTGACTTCATTAATAAAGGTAAAATGTTGACAATTCCTTTTAACCTAGTAAGTTTTTAACAATAAGGCATAAGGATGAATATTGGGTTATTTATGTAGAATTGTGAAAAGTTTTGGTGTTACACTTAATCTTATGGTGAAACCTTAAGATTCATATTTACTTTGAAATAAATGTAATTTCAAGAACAAAATTTAAAACCGATGACTCATTGTAGAGTTGCTCAGTTACTCTTGACCTGAAGATCTGGCAAAAAATCAAAAAGAAGTCTCTGCTGAACAATAGGCACAGAGGTTTTTCTTCCTAAAGTTTTGATATTTTTTTTTTATTCCTGTTCCTTTTGGCTCTTCGAGAATGAACAGATGTTAACACAATTAAAAGCATTTTACTGTTTACTGTTTGTCATCAGCATATGTAGGAACAAATGTTCTGGTACTTTGTGTTAAGACAAAGTACATTTACCCTTGAATATTCTGAAGTCCTTTCTACTCAAGAGCTACATTCCAATTTTCATTTGAACTTCTTTCATTTGTTTTGCTTATTATCATAACTAAAATAAGTAAGACTTATTCCAATTATTAAGTTATATTATTTTTCTTATGCTTTGTTTTACATTGTACGTTTTAGTTGTTTTAGTGTCTACTTTGCCTTAATAATTGGAAGCTCTGTTGTTGTTTGGAATAAGTATTTGAAAATGGTTTTGTTGTGTGATACTATTTAGATTTTTAATTTCTAATTATAAATTTCATTTATATTCAAATATATTTCATTTATGTTTGGAACATTTATATACTTCAGTAAATCTATGCATATCTTTTCCAAGCACGAAAAAAACATAACTACATGGCTTTGTAGATGCATTAGTAAGGATGTGATACCCTGGTTACACAAAGAGTGTTTGGATATGAATTATGCCCTTGGCCCAGTTAATAAAAATATGTCTAATTTGTATGCTTAGAAATCGTCTCCTTCATGAATTTTAAATGTTCATGAGAAAGGGCTTTAAAATAGAAGACTACTATCATAAGAATTATATATGTTTAGTTGTTATTTTAGGGCAAATACTTTGTAAGCTTTGGCCCTCTTAATCCTTGTAACTCTAGTGAAGTAGATATTATAGCTAAGTATTAATTTTTATTGTAACTAATTTTAATAGGCTATGGAAATTTTTATTTTGCCTAATTGTAATATCTATTCATGACTTTCACATTAAGTAAAAGTTGTCAGCTTGAGGTAACATAGTATTTGTTTATTGTAGAAAATTGTAATACAAACCTGTACTAGGCACAGCCCTCCCTTCAGGTACCTTACCTTGTAGAAGGTAGACACAAGTAAATGGGCCCTTACAGTGAAATCCAGTAAACACTGCGATGAGAAAAAGTCTAATTAATAATTGTTTAGATTTGAACAAGTTAACTTAGAGGTAAGGAAAGTTGGGATAGTATAATGTATTTGTTAATGCTTAATGAGAAAACCACTAGAATGGTTCCAAACCTTTTTTGAGTGTTCCCAGAAAAATGTTTACATACTGTGATTTTCTGTAACCTTTGGGGGAGTTCACAGACCCTTTGACGCTGATCCACGAATCCCAGTTTAAGAACTCTTACATTGGAGAAAGATTAACATAGCACACCAAATAGTATTTTCAGGAAAGGGCATCTGTATATGTATATAATTAAAAGCCTTCCTTAACTGCATGCAATTAAACATCTTCTGTTGATTCATGGGTTTCATATATACTACACTGAAACGTTGCATGTGAGAAATGCATGTCTAGTCATATCACACCATCACTTTATTAGTTTCACTTATGTTTAGTCATGAGCCATGAACGGTACATTGGGCCACATTAATGAACACTTAGAAACAGTTAAAAAAAATGCATACACATAAATGTGGTTCAGTATCCAACAGTGCAAAAATTTAACTGAGTCATCTTGTATTTATAAATTTGATCAGTGATTTTAAAGATGCAAACAGTTTTAATTTACTGACAAATTTGAAAATAAGGCTTTTGGGGTATAGTTCATATTTAAGGTCACTTTCTTAGAATTTTTGTTTTGTTTTTAGAAGTGTTTCACAAGTTTCTTTCTTTCTTCCTTTTTTATTGAAGTTCATCTAAATCTTGGAGGGGTAAGCCTTATATGTCTTTGTAAAACTGCCCCAGAATGTAATACCTTTTTTTTAGGCTGTTTTTTAAAAAGAATTCAGATCTCCTCTAAATATCTGTATGTGATCTATGCAAGTTGTTGTATGATCACATAATTATTTATGAATTGGTAATCGAAATTGAGTTAGCAAAACCATAGCCAAACAAGGGTCCTCAAGTCCAGCCTTCTTTATATAGTTGCAATGAGGAAACTGAAACTAGATAAGGGCTAACAGCAGAAGAGTTGGGCTTGAGCTAAATCTCCTGGTTTGTTTACTCTTCATTAGAATTCACTCTAATTAATGTAGGTGTTTGCTGTTTCTCTTGATAACATCTTTGTCTTTACCTAGCATTGTTATATTGTCCTAAAGGAAAAGTTTTATTTTATTAATTTTAACTTGTACAAATAATAACTTACTGGCTTAAAAGTCACATCTAATTTTTAGTGGGGGTAATGTAGTTATTCTTTGGACATTAGTCAGTGCCGACTATCTGTAAAGAAACTTAAACCTTTTCTCAAGGAGCTTGCATTTGAGTATCCAAAGCATGCATATTTTACCATGGCTACTAGATGTGAATTTTGTTTTTTAGCTCTTAGTTGATGACCTTAAGGCTATTTTTTGCTTTCAAACTTAAACTCAATTATGGTGCTATTAAAACATTCTCCTCATGTTAGTCTTCTCTCTCTCTCTCTCTCTCTCTCTCTCTTACACACACACACACACACACACACACACACACACACACACACAAATTAAGTAGAGTCTTTAGTAAGACTCTTTATTTCTTAATTTTGTAGTATTGATATTTTTTCCTTGTAGGATTGGAGATGATCCTCAGGAAATGGGGGAAGAGGCAGAGCAAATGTTCAAAAGGATTAGCAGATTGTGGAAAAAAGGAGGATTTGGACAGAAGGAACCTGTTGCATAAATTCTTAACTACTAAACTTATAGGAAAACTCCAATATTTAAAATTTTAAACAAAGCTATCTAGGTAAATACCTTCAAAAAAAAAAAAAACCAAATGTCATTTTGTACTTAAAATGCACAAAATTTTAAAAACTTTAAAAGTAAATTCTTTCTTTTTCTTTGTGGTAACTACTGAATTAAAGGAATACTTTTTGATGTAATTTGTTTTATCTGATAATGATAATATGGTTGCTTAATTTAAAGGGAAGAGTAAACAATTTGAAAGGAACACAGTTACTCTGGATGAAATAGCTGTATATTTATGTAATTTTTTTCTTTGCAGTGGTAAAAACTTCAACTAGTTTTAGTTTAAAAGTTTAAATCTTCTAATAACTTGAGGCTTAGGGTGGGAAAATGAGGAAAACCTACTAAAAGGTAATTGCCATAGGTCTGCTATTTTATTTTATTTATTTTCTTATTTTATATTTATTTATTTTTGCTTTTTCACTTTAAAGGGAAATAGTAAGTTACACTGTCTTCTGCGTTTATATCTCTTTATTCTAGTGGTACTTTCCAGTTTTTGTCATTTGAAGAAGCTTGATTTTTTTTAATCAGAAGTCTTTTTAAATTTAAAAAATCAGATTTTTCTGTTATTAAAAGATAATTTAATCGTACTCCATGAAAATAAGATGAATTTAGTTAGTATGTATGTAGTGCTTCAGTTTAGTTATGTTAGCAATAGCTTGTTGGACTTGTGAGCCATACTTTTAAGGTGGTTTGTGGCTCTGGGAAGTACTGGATGATGCCTTGGACTTGATAATTTTATTGTGGTATTGTTTTTTCACTCCATGTTTATATCAGTTGGTTTGTTTGAATTTTGTTTTTTTTAATGAAAGGCAGATAGTTGATTGACATCAGAATTCACTTTTCTCTTTATATTTAGGGTTAATCTATATAATAATACTAGATTTAGAACATTTTTTACCTGTAATATCTATTTTAAATCTTCCAACTATTATTTAGCTTTAAAGCATTTTCTGTGGCAAGATTAAATTAAAAGTATTCTATAAATCATTTTCAGTTACCTCTTTTGCCTCTTTCCTCTGTGATGTCTAACTTTCTTTTTTTTTTTAATTTTTTTTAATGTTTTTATTTATTTTTGAGACAGAGAGAGACAGAGCATGAGCAGGGGAGGGGCAGAGAGAGAGGGAGACAGACTCCGAAGCAGGCTCCAGGCTCTGAACTGTCAGCACAGAGCCCGACGCGGGGCTAGAACTCACGGAGTGTGAGATCATGACCTGAGCTGAAGTCAGACACTCAACCGACTGAGCCACCCAGGCGCCCCTGTGATCTCTAATTTTCAGTTGGCTTTTACACCTCCATACTTTATGAATGGAATCAAGTGATTTGCTCACACATAACTCTGATTAATGCATTGACTTCAAATGAGTCATGTTAATATTAAACGTATTAGCAGATGTCCCTATTAACAGTAATGTTTTCACCTGTGTTTTAATGTATACTATACATAATTCGGGAGTATATTGTAAAAACCGGTTATAAGAACTCCAATATAGTTATATTAATTCTTTTAATAGCCAGTGTTAAAAAGTCAGTGCCTATTTATCACATTTTCATTCATAAAGTTTTCTTCAATGAAATGAAAATTCTTTAAGTTAGAATAGGTATGTTTATAGAAGAATTAACTCCTAGAATTTTCTAATCTCAGGATCTGATTACTTAACTACCCTTTTCAGACAAACCTTATAGTTTGCTTTTTAGAAGTCATTTTATCTCCACGATCCTGGAAGTCGTCTTTAACATATGAAAAATACTTTAGAAACTTCCTTATCTCTACTTCCCCAACTTAAAAGTAAATAATCAATCACTCCTCACAATCACAGTATAGTTCTTTCTGTCCATAGGTCCTGTCCCCTTGCTTTAATAAAAACACTTTTTATCACTGGAAAAAAAAAAATCATTTGGTGAACGGATTTGGTAAATCATTTGGTAAATATATTTTCTCCAATTTAGTTTTTAAGTTTTCCTGCTGTACTTACCTATATAGCATTGTAGCTTTTTCTACAATTAAAATAACATATATAATATTGGTTGTATAGTGATTTAAAAGTGGGATAAACCTATTCCTGGTTATGGGAAGTTTTTTCCAAGAGATAAAGGGACATTGATAATTTTAAGACCAGTTTCCAAATTCCAGTTTTCATATATGTGTTTCTTAAAATTAGTCTGCCTTTGGTCCATATTTCCTCCCATTTTTCAAAAGAAGGCATACTTCTCATTTGTACCAATTTTTACTGTGGTACACTTTCAGGTTCTAAAAACCTCTTGGGCACCAGTGAAAGAGAACATTTTGAAATATTGGAGTCAGTGTTATTGAGGACATGAATCATTGTAATGAGTGGGAACAGCCCTCTTGTATATAGATTGTTTCCAGGTCTTTGGTTTCAACAAAATGGACAGAGGATCTAATCAAGTTGTTAGTTAATAAGAACATTAAGTGTAAATTTTAAGGATGGATTGCTGTGTGACTTTTACATGTAATATAGATATGTAAAAGAATTGAGTGATATCGCTGTAACAAAACCTTTCCTATCTCTATCTACTGATCTGTTGTCAGCAAGATTTCTCAACTCCTACCTCTGTAAAAATTTTAAATAGGAAGAGAATCTCTTTATTCTAGCAATAGAAAATATCCACTTATACATGAACTAATTAAAAATCAATTACTATTTCAAAGAGAAAAGAATATTCTAAAATGTTTTGTAAATTAACATGGGACATTATTAATAAATAAACATTTTTCTTTAACTTTTTATGAAAAATTTCAAACATACTCAAAATAAACATAGTGTAACTAGCCCCTATGTACCCATTCCTGGCTTCTAATTTTCATAGTATCTTGTCCTCCACTTCTCTGTACCCCACTACTAGATGATGATGGATTTTATTTTTACAGTTTGTATATTTGCTTTTAAGGGGTTTACTCTATTTTGTATGTGTGTGTATTTTTTCTAACATTTTTACAAATAAACTTTCTACTGTTATTTTTTTGAAATTAAAATAACTTGACATTTTATAATGATTATTAGATCCCATATATTCCTGGGGTACATGAAATCTTTCCAAGAGATACAGGGGCAAATATATTTTGTTGACTTAAGTAAAATACTATTTTCAGTGTAGATAGTAAGAACAAACATTAAACAAGTGCTTTTACATTTAAATGGGGAAATTTTGGGGAAAGACTTTCTTGGGTCAACAGAATCAGTTAGTTTATTTTGTGTGTTTTTATATAATCCGCCTAGAACATTTCAAGTAGTTTATCCAAAAGGTTATGTGATTGACAATGGTAAATATCAGTTTTTTAAAAAATAGCTTAGAAGCAAAACAATTTTAATTAGCTTTAATTTAGTAAGGTACAAAGTAGGTCAAGCTTGTGACCATAGTCTAGAGTTGAAACAGGTTTTTTTTCTTTTTATTAAACATGACAGCTTAATAAAGAAAATTTGTATTTGTTCTGTAGGGCACAGTTTAGGTCAGAGAATGGAAGTTCAGTATAACTTGTTTATTTTACATTGATTAATTGTATAATGGTAATTATCCATGTAACATCCCAATGCAAATGCTGACATCCTTTTCCAAAAGAGTTGTTTTTTTTTTTGGTTTTTTTTTGTGCGTTTTCTAAGGTTAAAAAGGTTTTTGTGGTTTAAATGTTGTTACATATTTTACAGCATTAGGATCTATGGAATATTTTGACAACTGCAACAGTTCAATGAAGTTGGTAATTTCTTCTTTTAATTATTTTTCATTGAACAGCTTTGGAGTTACATTTCTACATTTTGAGTTCTGGTGTATTATAAGGAAAGAAAAATTAAAATATGTCAAAGGGCACTTTAGAGAAAATAGATAGTGATTACAATATGGCTGTAGCTAAATTATCCATCATTATCTTGTTTAAGCTTTGTTAATGCCTAATTTTGATGAAATAGTGTGGTGTTCTTTTCAGCTACTGATTGTATATGTGATTGACATTCTTTGGTAAATAAGTTGATCTGTAAGGTTTCACAGATTATCAGCCAGATCTTAATCCACTTGTAAAGTGGAGAATGAACCTGGCTTTATTCAGTTAAATAATTCTCTGGTACAGGTTTTCCCCATCATAATCAAATTTTAAAGTGTGATGTTTTGGAATTTTTAGGGTAAAGTTTAAAATTTTTGTTTTAAAATTTTAGTTGTCAAATTATTTTAAACCTGTTTTAAAAATTAGAGATGTATTGTTTCTATTGGGTGCATATCACCAATTAATACGTTTGATTTCAGATCTACATCTTACTGCTTTGTAAACTTCGCCGAGGTAAAAATGAAACCATTTGGCTACTTGAACTGATCTACATTACATAGGTTTTTCCTATTGACATTTGCAGTAGCTAACATGTCAGAAATAGAAGTGATGAAACAATACATCTTCCATGCTCTGAATTGGCATAATGCTAAATTCAAATGTAGCTAATTGTTTAGAGGCTATGAAATATATATTTTTTAGTTCACATATTGTTAAAACAAATGAGATACAAAAGGTAGAGCTTTCTTTATACTAGCAAAATGTATGCAGGATGTTTGCATATATAGAATTATAAAAGATTAGTTTAGTTTTGCAACATAACTCATCTTCCTAACTCTAATACTGGTTTGAGGTTATTTTAAAAATATGAGTAGATTGTTCTTACTTGAAAACCATAATTTATACTCAACTCTTTTCTAAGGGTGAAACTTTATTTTAAGTTTTTTTAAAATATGAAATTAAATAACGTATGTGCTAGCAGATTATGTGTTGTCATGAAAGATAAGGGAATTTGGGGTAACTAAAATTCTGTAACTTTGGGTTGGGTAAAGCTTATACTTAAAATAAAGCATTCCCTTTGTAATTCAGACCCATTGTCAACATATTGGTATTAATAAAAGAACATGTAAAAAGTTTATGTAAATATTGAATTATTTTAGAAGTATTTCCTAGATTTAAAAGTACTAATGTACAGTATATTAATTATGATAGCAGTTTGAAATTTTGATAATTATACTCAGTTAAAACTTAAACTGTAGTGATGCCTGTATTAACATATTTATCTCATTTCTTTGCAGCAAGGAGTGAATAATGCTGAAAAATTTGACTATGTAAGTGCAATGTAGAATTCAGATTTCATGCTTTATTTATATTCCTTAAATACTTGTTTTTTAATTACTGATACTTTCTAATTCTGGTTTATAGGTGATGCAGTTTTTGAATAAGATGGCTGGCAATGAATACGTTGGATTCAGTAATGCAACGTGAGTCTAATTTTTGACTTAGGTTTTTATAATGGGCCAGTCCTCTTTAAATTAACAAAAATATCTAGAGTATAGAATTCTATTAAGCATATTTTTAAAATGTTTATTGATTTTTGAGGGACAGAGCATGAGCAAGGGAGGGGGAGAGAGAGAGGGAGAGAGAGAGAGGAGAGAGGGAGAGAGGCAGAATCTGAAGCAGGCTCCAGGCTCTGAGCTGTCAGCACAGAGCCCGACATGGAGCTTGAACTCATGAACCGCGAGATCATGACCTGAGCTGAAATCGGACACTTAACCAACTGAGCCACCCAGGGACCCCTATAGAATTCTATTTTAAATGCTGTTTTGTCCCCACCCCCCCCCAACCTCTCCCCTTTCTCTACATATATAATACATAGTGTATTTAGAATTAATCTGGTTTGGTCCTAGGGCTTACTTCAGCGAATAAATAATTATTTAAAATTTCGTCATTAAAGGGAAATGAATTATTTCTGAATTACCTGAGAGAACACTTAAATGCTTTATATAGGTTGGATAAACTTCTTGTGGGTATAAAGTTAGAAGGGACCCAACTTTCCCTTAAATTACTGAGAGTTATTCAATTTTCTTTTTGCCTGTAATACCTGTCTTACCTCTCTAAATCTCTCTGCCTGGCTAACTTGATTTTGACCCCAGTTTTTTATTTTGAAATTTGCCAGTCTGTAGAAAACTTGAAGGAGTAAGCAATGAATATCTGGATATCTTTCACTTATATTTTCCGATTAATATTTTTGTCTCATTGGCTTTCCCTCAACCTCTTTTTTTAGATAACTGTTTAAAACATGTGTATTTCTACACACACACACACATACGTAAATATATATTTTTTTTCTCTGAACTGATAGAAATAAAGTTGTAGACATCTCAACACTTCACCCGTAAATAACTCAACATGTATATTCTGAGATAAGGACATTCTCCTACATAACCACAGTACCATCAACACATTAACATTAACATTAAGATCACTAACATTAATCGTAAGATGTCATTAATACATAAATGTACCAACTGTCCACCCCCTAAAAGCCTTTTATGACCTTTGCTTCCTAGGAATTAATCAAGGTTTGCACATTACATTTATGTCTCTTCTGCTTTTTTAAAATAGAAGAGTCTTCCTGCCCTACACCTTTGCTTTATAAAATTTTATTAAGTGGCTTTCTTTGAAGAGTGCCAACCACTTGTTTTACAAAGCAGGAATTAACTAACTTTCTCTGTGAAGGACCAGATAGTAAATTTTTCAGACTTGTGGGCCATATGGACTCTGGTTGCAACTACTCTTTTCTACTGTTTCAGTAGGAATGTAGCCATGGACAATATGAGGTTGTGTTTCAAGAAACTTTATTTATAAAAACAGGCAGCAGGCTACATCTGGCCCATGGGCTATAGTGGATATTCCACATTTTGAATAGGTCTGGTTGTTTCCTTGTGGTTACATAAAGCTGAAACGGTTTTGGCATGAATACTAAATAGGTGATACTTTGTACTTCACGTTTCAGGAAACAAAACTTTTCAGGTTGTCTGCTCTACCAACTTTTATTCATCAACTTAAGTATCTTTCTAAGAAGTTTTTCATGAATCTCATCTCACCTCTCTTCTGTGCTATTATATTACCATATTTAATTGAGCTTACTCTATGTCTCACTGCCTCATCACCACCATAAGACTCTGATTTCCTTTAGACCTGGGTAGAAATGTCTTCCAATTCATTTTTGTATTCCTGTTATCCAGCAGATAATAGCCACTTGATAGTGTTTGGTGAACAGAACTACATGCTAGGCACTGTGATCATTGCTAAGCAGTTAGTTCTTTATGTACACCATGTTGAGTTGTTTTTTTTTTTTTTTTTTTTTTTTTTAAGGTATGGCAAGTTGACAAGTTTATTTTCAAGAGCTTTTTCATATCCACATATCCAACATTGTTTTTCTAACCATAGAAACATTAAAATGTATAGTTAGGAGAGACTCTCCCCACCCCCCACACACACCTTGTGATTGATAATACAGAGTGTCTGTCACCCACAGTTCCTCTTTTGTCAGCAGCCTATGGATGCTTGCACGCAAGTTAAATCTGTCCAAATTAAAACTCATTCTCTTTCTTCTCAAACTACTCTTTGCTTCATGGATCCCCACGTCAGTTGATATCACTGTCCTTTCAGTCGACTGGATTAAAAATCTAGACTTTTGTATCAGACTTCATTCACCATTCCCCCTTTTTCCCATTAGGTTGAAAGACTTGCCGAAGTGCTCTCATGTTTGATCATAGCTCTCCTTCCATTCCTGTCACCACTACCTAAGTTCAGGCTTTCTATGGCTTTTATTACTTCGGTTTCCTAATAACATAAGTCATCCTTTCTTTTTCCCCTTTCCCAGACTGATGTCAGAGTTATCCTTCTAAAATGTAGGTCTCAACAAGGTAATTTGATGGAAAGCCTTCAAGCTTTCATTTGGTATGCCATCAGGAGCCAATTTTAGATTTATCAGTCTTGATAATAATGTGGTCCCAGTCTCCTTTGTTAGTTTGATGGTTCTCCACTCTTCTCCATGAACCCTATTTCTCAGATACATCAGAACATATGCCATTCTTCAGTGCAGTCCTGTCTTCTATACTTTTATAACTTTGTTCATGCTACATGGGATTTGCCACTGCCTAGGTTTCCCTCTGAAATCTGTTAATCCAACAAATGCTGAAAGGCCCATTTCATGTGTCCTTCCTTTAGTGAAATTTCCATGGATTCCTGCAGTTGGAATTGATTATTGTACTTTTGGAGGACCCAGGAGATTCTGCAGTTTCTTAGTGTATTTTTTAATGGTGGAATACTTGGTAATTTTAAAATTAGCTTCTTTATTCACAAAATATGAAGATTAGAAAGGGCCTAACCCATTTCAGTCCTTTCACAGCTGAGAAAATTAAGACTGAAAGAATTGTCAATTAAATGACTTCCCCAAAAACCACATAGCTAGCCTATTGACAGAACTGGGATTGAAACCCAGCAGTCCTGACTCTTAGGTCAGTGTTCTTTATACTATACTTCGCTATACAGTTACACTACAGGACAATCATACTTTTATAGAAAATAAGTAAATAGAGCAATTTTTTTCCTTCTAGGTTTCAGTCTGAAAGAGAAAGTGGAGATCGAAATTTTGCAATAGGATATTACCTAAAAGAAAAAAAGGTTCTTGAATTTTTTTGTTTCTATTTCAAATTATTGTTTTATTTAATAAAATATGTAAACATGTATGCTAAAAACTCAACAATAGGTTTTAAGCAACTGTTACTATTTAATGTTTAGAAGTTTTTGCAAAATGCTCTTGAGTTAGTCGTTTCAAAATGTTAATATTAAATCAATTTAATATCTGGCAGTATTCAGATATTTTACTAATTACATTGATGTAAGTTTTTCTTAAGGATTAGCCCCTTTTTCTGAAAGTGTGATGCCAGACTATTATTGATTACATTTGGTTTTTAAATTTTAAGTGGGTGGTCCAGTAACTTGCTTTATGAATTATGAATCAGTTTATCATTGTTAAACTAGTATCTAGAAATCTGTATGTAATGTAGTTTTGCTTTATTGTTCTTTATTATTTCATGTAAAAAGGGTTGTAAGCCTTTTTATAAGTTATATGCTATTTTGTTACCAGTTAATACGAGACATTTGTATACATTTTAAATTTAGTCTTTATGTGTCTCTTACTTATGTGCATATATTCTTGTTTTTAATTGCCTTTCTATTTTTTCAGTGTTTTCCAGAAGGCACAGACATGGTTGGTATATTAGACTTCTATTTCCAGGTAATTTACTTCAACTCTATGAGTTGTGTATATAAATGGATGTGTCACATTGTGCAGAGTATAGATGTCTCTGAAATCATGGCTCTAGATTAAGATAAAATATATTTACCACTCCCCTTCTAAAAAGAGTCCTCATGAAAGGCATTCTCATGTTTTTTTCCTCCTAAAAATCATGCCTTAGAATGTAATAAGGAATGTTTTTTACTTTAAGAAGTATCAAAAATGGTATATAATTCCAGAAATTGGTTTGTCCTTATTAAAAACTAAGCTGATTTCTTAGCTTTTAAGTTTTGTTTTGAGGATTTGTTTGTTTCTTCATTGGAGTGTTCATATTCAGCATTTTAAAGTAGCAGTTTCTCAGTTGGTTTAATTCATTTCTGCAAAGTCATATGATGCTTTTTTGGTTTGTTTTTTAATGTTTATTTTCGAGAGAGAGCATGAGGAGAGGAGGAGCAGAGAGAGGGAAACACACAGAATCTGAAGCAGGCTCCAGGCTCTGAACTGTCAGCACAGAGCCTGATGTGGGGCTCAGACTCCCGAACTGTGAGGTCATGACCTGAGCCGAAGTCTGCCACCCAACCGATTGAGCCACCCAGGCACCCCTGTGGTGTTTTTTTTCTAACTTAGTATAGTTTCTCCACATTCCTGAGTGGGCCACTCACATAATCTGCTGTGATTATAGAACTCAGTTTTAGAGAGCCTTCCCCGATAACTCTCTTTTCTCCCTGTATTTTCAGTTCAGTTCATTCCTACAGATTTAATACCATTGGTGCTAATATCAATGGGCTGTAATATCAAGCTAAATAGTAAATTAATTATTATTGATTTCTAGTTAATCTTACTTTTGCCTGCCTTTACTTTTTAAGGTGCTTTAATTTCAATTTTGTAGTAATGTTAAAAAATATGTAAGGGGGTTGATAATGTAGATTTTGATGACAGTTTGTCACCTTCCAACGTGAGGAACTGTGAATTGAGAATCCAGACTGTCAGTATAAAATCAAGGTCTAATCTGACCATTTTTTAGCCATGTGACATAACTTCAGTAACTTAGACCTAATTTCATTATGTGTAGCATATGCTTAACCTAACTGTCTGCATTATCTTGAAGATAACATGAAATGATATGTGTCAAATTCCTTTGAAGCTGTAAGGTGTTCTATAAAATAATAATGTCATTTATTTTTATTTCTTCCATATGTTAGTGTTTGTTTTCCTTCGGTATATACACTTTAGCTGTTATAGCCTAGGTGCTACTAATCTACTATGAAATTTCTGCACTTCAGGGTAAAAATCAAGAGAAAGCCATAGAATAGAAGCCTTACTTTTTTGGAGAAGGGCTGCATGTAATTGAACATCTGATCAGGGTATCAGAAAAGTACTGTTAAATTGGGATTTGTCAAATTTGGTATATATATCATCTTATGACAAACAAAATTCCAGTTAATACTAAGTATAAGTTAGGAAATGATCTTTGGAGTTTAAATTTTAACTTCTTTTAGAAAGCATTTCATGATTACATCTACATAAGTCTTTGCTATCTGGGTCAGTATAGTGACTAGGTTCTGTAGTTTTGGAGAAATAAGGAAGAGGTTTTAATATAAACAAGCAAAAGTGAAAGTCAGTGAAAAAGTGGCTCCCAGTCAGTTTCCTAATGCACTGTAGCTAATAAGTTTTCCTTCTTGCTCTTTCCAAACCCCTTTGTCTCTTGTGGAATCTTGAAAAATTAGTAAGGAAAGATTGCAAGTTGGTAACTCAGCCTTTTCTTCCTGCTCCCCCTTCCCATCTTCTTTCTCATCTACTTCCTCCCCCACCTCCCCATACACACCCTGCCCCCTAGTTTGGATTGCTGTTAATGAAAAGTAAAATGGAGCTTATTTATTATTTCTGTTTTATGGATAAATTTGGGTTTGCTGTGGTAAACTTATTTCCATTATTTTGATTATTTTTAAATACTGTACTATACTCTGCCTGGACTTTGCTTTTATTTATTCAGTATATTCTGTCCAGCACCCATAGTCAATATCAAATAAATATTTAAATATTAATAAGTGGTTTAAAAGGTAGTATTTTGACTTAGGCACTGAGAGTATCCAGGCTAGTGCTATCTTGGTTTCCATTCCTTAATTTTTTGCATGTTACTACATAGGAATGCTGAGCTTTGTTATAGTGAAAATGTCAGTCATTTTAGCATCTTTTTTTCCTAAAGTAGCAATTTCTAATGTAAATGCTATCTATCATAATACTAATGTATGTTGCTTTGTCTTAAAAATATATCACGGCTCCTTTTCCTTTCAATTTAAAAATAATTATGTTTGTGTATCCTACAGAAAGCATTAATATTTAAGCAACTTTGAATATCACTTGGGACCATTATAGATCTTTATGCTTAGGGGCTGGCTCTTCCTATCCTGGTTTTGCCATTATAAAAGACTCGATAACTGGGCAAATCAGGATAAACCTTAAAGGGGCTTGAAATTTGTTCAAATTTAAATCTTTGGAATGTTATCAAGTTATGTTAAAATAATCCCCTTGAAGGAAAGATTTCAGATCTGTATGAACTACTAGATGAAATATATTTTCTTAGAAGTCAATTGTAGTACAGAAAATAATGTCAACCTAAATTTTCAGAATTCAGTTTTTTCTTCCTTCTAGCTATGCTCCATTGAAGTAACTTGTGAATCAGCCAGTGTGATGGCTGCAACACTGGCTAATGGTGGTTTCTGTCCAATTACTGGTGAGAGAGTACTGAGCCCTGAAGCAGTTCGAAATACACTGAGTTTGATGCATTCCTGTGGCATGTATGATTTCTCCGGGCAGTTTGCTTTCCATGTAAGTAATTGTTTAATCTTAATTTTCTATTGCAAGAAACTAGTCTGGACTAGTTCTTTTAAAAATACAGTTTGAACTTTGGTTCTAAACCTGCACATTAATTTTTGAGAGAGAGACTTGTTTTTAAGGTTAATTTGTTACAGACTTGTTAAGGAATAGAGTTAAGCAGGCTACCCGAAATTCTTAAGAACTTGGAGTTTAATTTATAAAACCTCATCACTTCTACTTGTAAGGCATTCCAGTGTGCAAGGTTAGTACAGACTTTCTCTACTATTTCTTATTAATATAACTAAGCCTTATGGTGATTACATACCTCAAAAGCTCCTTAAGTTCAGAAGGAGCGCATAATTGGGATGTTTAACACCTTTGGTTATAATCATAGATATTTTAAAGCACTTAAAGTATATTAAGTTAACAAAAATACACTCTTAAAGTTCTCTTGTGCATTTTTGAACATTTGTGTACACCTGTGAAATATGGACTTTCTTACCTCATTCTGCTTATGTCAAGATATAATGCCCTACAAATTTTTTTTATTTGAAAATTTTAGAACAGAAAACTAGATGCATTTAATGTTACCCACTACTCAACTTCAATAGTTATTAGTACCTTACCAGTTTATCTTTATTTCCAATTCTTGCCATGTAGTTGAGTGTGTAATTCTAAATGATAAGGACTTTTTAGAAAACAAACAAACATAGCACCATTATTATATTTGAAAAAAAAATTTTCATTTTTAGTATCAAAATATTTAGTGTTCAGATTATCTGGATTGTCTTGTAAATTACTGTTTTGCGGTTTTTTTTAACCTGGGATGCAAATAAGGGTCATGTGTTAATGATCGGTTATATCTTCTTTTATTATTACTTTTTAAATGTATGTTCTCTTCCTTGACCTCTCTTTCTTTCTTGTTATTTTTAGTTGAAAGAACTGGGTAATTTATCCTGTACAGTTTTTCAGTCTAGATTTTCTTTATTATTGTCCCTTGTATCTTGTATTGCTGGGAAATTGGTTTATCCCATTCAGGTTAATTTTTTTTTCCTTAGTATTGTGCAAGATTACTTCTAGCAATAAGTATTCATTATATGAATGTTAGTAAGCCATTAGTGAATACTGCCCTGATGATACGAATTTTGTCTTTTTATCATGGTTACTGTCAAGTGTTACATAATGTGAACTTAAGTGTTTTGAAGAGGATTAATTTGAATTACTTGTGATCTTATCTCCTCAGAGAATTCTCAGACAGTATACCACAGAAAATCTTCTAAGAAGATACAATTTCTCATGTTTTTTTAGTCATAAAACATTTTTTGAAAATAACTTTTCATACTTTAATACATGTTTATTATAGAATTAGCAAATCTAGTCCAGTAGTGCCTGGGTGGCTCAGTCAGTTAAGTATCCAACTCTTGATTTTGGTTCAGGTTATGATCTTGTGGTTCATGGGTTTGAGTTCTGCATCAGCATGCTTGGGATTCTCTTTCCCTCTCTGTCTCTCTCTCTGTTTGTCTTTCTCTCTGTCTGTCTCTCTCTCTCTGCCCCTCCCACATGCTTGTGTGCACTCTCTAATAAACTTCAAAAAAAAAAAAATATATATATATATACACACACAATCCAATATATTGTATACAATATATACTATATGTATATATACACACACACACAATCCAAAAGAATAAAATAAAAACATGCATAGCCCCACAATTTAGATGTATTCTACCTTAATCCTTAAGAGTGTATCTTTTCAAATGTTTTCTGTATTTAAATACATCTCAACTGTTTTATAAGTGTTTTCTCATTTACTGTATTATAAACATGTTAATAGTTATCTACAACACTTGTAATGTTAGAATTCTGTGTATACGTATACCATAATTTCTAAACCAATTCCCTTATTGTTGGACATAATTTTCCTTATTTTAAAATGTTAACAATAATATCCTTTTTTTTTCAAATTATTTTCAGGTTGGTCTTCCTGCAAAATCTGGAGTTGCTGGGGGCATTCTTTTAGTTGTCCCTAATGTCATGGGCATGATGTGCTGGTCTCCTCCTCTGGACAAGATGGGCAACAGTGTTAAGGGAATTCACTTCTGTCATGTAAGCATATTTTCTTAATGAAAATAATGATCATATAAGTGGAACCATCCAATGATTTTATTTTTAAAATTTTAATTCTAGTATAGTTAGCATACAATGATGTGTTAGTGTCAGGTGTACAATATAGTCTTTCAGTTCTTCTATACATTACTCAGTGTTCATCATGATAAATGATTCTTAATCCTTTTCACTTATTTCACCCATCACCCCACCCACCTCTCCTCTTTGGTACCACCAGTTTGTTCTCTGTTGTTAAGAGTCTACTTTTTGGTTTATTTCTCTGCTCCCCTTTGTTTTGTTTCATAAATTCCACATGAGTGAAATCACATGGTATTTATCTTTCTCTGATTGGCTTACTTCACTTAGCATTATACTCCAGATCCACCCATGTTGTGGCAAATGGCAAGATTTCATTCTTTTTTATGGCTGAGTAGTATTCCATTGTATTTACCTACACCACTTCTTTATCTGTAGATGGACGCTTGGGCTGTTTCCATAGTTTGGTTACTGTAAATAATGCTTCAATAAACATAGGGTAGGGGTCCATATATCCCTTCAAATTAGTGTTTTCGTATTCTTTGCATAAATAGCTGGTAGTATGATTTCTGAATCATAGGGTAGTTCTATTTCTAAATTTTTTTTTTTTAACTTTTTAAGGAAACTCCATACTGTTTTCCATAGTGGCTGCACCAGTTTGCATTCCTACCAACAGTGCATGAAGGTTCCTTTTTCTCCATATCCTCACCAACACTTGTTTCTTGAGTTTTTGATTTCAGCCATTCTGATGAGTGTGAAGTGATACCTCATTGTGATTTTTGATTTGCGTTACCCTGATGATGAGTGATGTTGAACATCTTTTCATGTGTCTGTTGATCATCTGCATGTCTTCTTTAGAGAAGTGTCTTTTCATGTCTTCTGCCCATTTTTCAATTTGATTATTTGCTGTTTAGGTGTTGAGTTGTATCAGTTCTTTATATATTTTGGATACTAATTCTTTATCAGATAGGTCATTTGCAAATATCTTCCCCCATTCAGCAGTTTGTTTTTTTTAGTTTGGTTGATTGTTTCCTTTGCTGTACAGAAGCTCTTTATTTTGATGTAGTCCCAATACTTTTTTCTTTTTTTTTCTTTTTTTTTTTTTTTTTTTTTTTTTTTTTTTTTTTTTTTTTTTTTTTTTTTTTTTGCTTTGTTTCCTTTGCCTCAGGAGACATATCTAGAAAAATGTTGCTAAAGCCAATGTCAGAAATTACTGCCTGTGATCCCTTCTAGGATTTTTATGGTTTCAGGTCTCATATTTAGGCCCATAATCCATTTTGAGTTGATATTTGTGTATGGTGTAAGAAAGTGGTCTAGTTTCATTCTTTTGCATGTGGCTGTCCAGTTCTCCCAGTACCATTTGTCCAGTTTTACCAGCACTATGTTTTTAAACCATTGCATATTCTTGCCTCCTTTGTCGAAGATTAATTGACCATATAATTGTGGGTTTGTTTCTGGGTTTTCTATTCGGTTCCATTGATTTATGTGTCTGTTTTTGTGCTAGTACTGTAATGTTTTGATAACTACAGCTTTGTAATATAACTTGAAGTCTAGAATTGTGATAACCTCTGGTTTTGTCTTTTTTGAGATCGCTTTAGCTATTCTGAGTCGTTTGTGACTTTATAAAAATTTTAGGATTGTTCTAGTTCTGTGAAAAATGCTTTTAGTATTTTGATAGAGATTGCATTAAATCTGTAGATTGCTATAGACATTTTGATAATATTTGTTCTTATAATCCGTGAGCATGGAATATCTTTCCATTTCTTTGTGTTATCTTCAATTTCTTTCGTCAGTGTTTCAGAGTACATATCTTTCACCTCTTTGGTTAAGTTTATTCTTAGGTATTTTATTATTTTTGGTGCAGTTGTAAAGGATTTTTTTCTTAATTTCTGTCTGGGGTTTCATTAGTTTCATTAAATGCAATGGATTTCTGTGTATTGATTTTTTATTTGTGACTTTACTGAATTCATTTATCAGTTCAAGTAGTTTTTTGGTGTCGTCTTTAGGGTTTTCCTGTATAGAGTAACATGTCATCTGCAGATAGTGAAAATGTTACTTCTTTCTTACTAATTTGAAAGGCTTTTATTTCTTTTGTTGTTTGATTGCTGTAGCTAGGACTTCAGTACTATTTTGAATTATAAGTGGTGAGAGTGGACATCTTGTTCCTGACCTTAGGGGAAAAGCTCTGAAGTTTTTCCCCATTGAGTATGATGTTAGCTGTGGATTTTTCATATTATGGCTTTTATTATGTTGAGGTATGTTCCCTCCAAACCTGCTTTATTGAGGGTTTTTATCATGAATGGATGTTGTATGATAATCATGTAAGTGGAACCATCCAGTGATTCTGATTTTTAAATCATTTCAGTAGTTTATTGATTGTTGGCATTCTGCCTACCTGTCTGCAAGTTACTAGGTTAGCCATGGCAGTACTTATACAGGATCTTTAAATTGCTTCTATCAGCTCCCATATACTCGTGCCCATAGGAAATTACATTTGTTTGATGCTGATATTTTAATTGTCATGGTTGTATATAGTTTTCAGTTTCCAAAAAACCTCAACAAAAGTTATTAAACTTGGAAAGGTATAAATTTAAATCCCGACATAAATTAAGATTATTATTGTTTATTATATCATCATTAATCTGTATGTTTGAATATCTTTATCCATAAACTATCTTGAAAAGTCTTTTTTTTTTTTGAGGACATAAGCACTACAAAATAAAATTGTTTCTAGATTAGTTCAGTATTTTATATAGTTACCCAAGTCTTGCTAATATTTCAGCTTCCAGTTTTATGTGCAATTTACTACTTTGTAGACTCTGTATTAAGTACTATAATTTTTCTGCAAACTTTCTCCGTTAAAATTATTTATTTTTCAGTTTTTTATATTTTGCAAAAGCTATAGAATGACATTGGATGCTTATGGATTATAATAGATTGTGACCAGAATGTTTGTTTATATTTTTGTGGTGCTTTATGGTTATTTGCTAGAATAGTTCTTTCATATGACCTGTTACTAAAGGCCCATTTTATAGGAAATGAAAGAAACAATTTGAGTGGTTTAGCCCTAGCTAGTAAGCCCTAGCTAGTAAGCATTGTTTTCAATGCTTACTCCATGTTCTCATTCTGATTTTATCCATGTTCTCATCTGATTTTGGTTCTCTTCGTGATACATGCTGCTTTTTGCAGTGGTATTTTCCATGAGATAGTAAGTTAAGTTGGACAATATTAGTGTGATTTGTTGCAATATGAAAAAAATAGCCAGTGAATAGCCAGTTTCTTATTCCTGTCCTGTTTATTTACAGGATCTTGTTTCTCTCTGTAATTTCCATAACTATGATAATTTGAGACACTTTGCAAAAAAACTTGATCCTCGAAGAGAAGGTGGTGATCAAAGGGTAAGCAAAATTCATATTTAGATTATTATGTAATATTTTTCTAAAAGAAAGAAAATGAGATTCACCTGTTTGAATAGAACTTAGTTTGTTAGTGTCCTCATATATTTGCTAATCACGAATTGAGTATACACAAGTTATTGACATTTTCATCCTGGAGTCAGGAGTATATAAATAATAATTATTGCTGTTTTATTTAAATTTAAACTGGTTAACCTGGCAGCAGGGTTCTCCACCTACCCACCCATTTTTCTGCTATTTTAAGCAATATTTTAAAGAATTGATTCTGTTAAAAAAAAAAAAAAAAAGAATTGATTCTGTTCAAAAAAACACTTTGGAAAGTGCTACACGCGGTAAAAAGAAAGCCTTGTTTTACTCTTAATCATTTGTCAGTAGTAGTCTTAAAGTTTATTTTGGCATGGATGGATATGTAAATAGGAAAGGGATTATAGTATTAGTGAAAGACCTTACAAAGCCTCATAATTTTTATTGGCCACTATAGATGAAATATTTTTTTATACAAAGTGTTTAATGCAGAGTTCTTGATACTCTTAAAGTAATATTTGTTTATTATCATTGTTTGGCTTCATATTATTGCACATACATACTTCTCTTAGTGCTAATATTTAAGAGTCAGGACTTAAATTTCAGGAACAAGATTTTTTGTCTTCATAGTTGTTCACTGGACCAAGGACTTGTTTTGAATTTTAATTAAATTCCTCTGCATCCCATCTAGAAAATGTTTATAGTAAATACCTAATTAGACTTGAAGCTGATATGAAGCACTTATAAGTAGAAAATATTTTAATGCATACGAAGTAAATTTTCCTATTGTTAGTTCCAATCAAATAACTTATAATATGTGAGAATTATGCAAAGCTAACAGAATAGAAACTGCCATGGGTGTCAACATGAGTAACATGGAACGAAACATCAAATGGTGGTGGGTGAAAATGTTAACAGATCTTAATAACATTCATTGAAAAATACCGTTTTATAGCTTGGACCTTTCTTCACTCAAGTGCACTAATAAATTATGTATGTTGCTTGAACAACTAGCATTCCTTTGGACCATTGGACTATGAAAGTCTCCAACAAGAACTTGCTTTAAAAGAGACAGTATGGAAAAAAGTGTCACCTGAGTCAAATGAGGACATCTCTACAACTGTAGTATATAGAATGGAAAGTCTGGGAGAGAAAAGCTAAAGAAATGGGTTCTAGTTTCAGAATGTTCTTCATTTACTCTTTCAACCATCTTTAGCTTTTTGCATACTATGAATATTTATTTGAGTTTTTTGTGTTTTCAACCTTGGGTGCTGGAGCCATAAAGCTTTTTTTCCTTTTAATCTTTGTATAAAGATAATAGATTAAAAAGTGGATTTGTTGGTCTTTAAAAAAGTATTTATACATAAGTAAAGCAAATTTGCTTTATTTTTAAAGACGCAAAAAGGAAAAAATTCCTTTAAATTTTTTCATGGTGTAATTAAAATTTTAACTTAATCTCCATTTTAAAATGGTAACAGAAATGTCATTTTTGGTTCTAAAACCCACACATTGAACTCATAAGTTTCATTGCATTTTGTTTTTTCTTTCCCAGTTTTAAAACTGACATGATGTCTGTAGGGGCAATAGAAAGTCATCTCTATGCTAAATACAATGAAAAGGCAAAATTAATGAATCCCAAATTACTTAATACAGTGATAGATTATAAAATTAGCTTAAGTTTATATTTTATGCCATTTTTAGTGATAAATTTGCTTTAAATTTTAAAAATTCATTTTAAATTTTATCAAACACTTTAAAATATAAATCATGTCTTTGCTTTTTTACTTTGCAACTTCTCTGTGTTCTGTCAAAATTGTCATGTACAGGAGTGTCTTATGTTACTAAAACATTCCAGCCAAAGAATTTCAGAAGTAGGATAATGACATGTTTTACTGTTAAAAAGCTATAATGGTTACTCAGAAGGAGCAACAGTGAGTGTCTTCAAGTGAAATGTTTACCTGAACAATTTTATTTTCGTATTATTCACGTTACTTTTTCTATGTTATATTTAAGTGTGAATGGTGAATCTTGGGTTTTAGTTTTTAATATTTTTATTATCGTAATAATTCCACAAATGCTAATGAATCTTTTATGATAAATTATAATAACATCTCATAGAGTTTGTTTTATTTGAACTCTAATTTTAGAGTACTTAGGAAATGAATTCAGTCTGATAGTAGTAAGTATGCTACTAAAATGTGTTAGATCTGAATCCTTTTGTTTGGTTATAAAAATGCAATATTGAGAATCAAAACTTGTTTTTAAAAGAAGGACTATTTTGGATAATTTACAATGTTTAAAGTCTGTCTTGGCAAAGTGATTGTAAAATTCTGTAGGACCTATTCACACTTCTTCCTTCTTCCAAATAACTCTTCAGTTTTCCCCACAATTCCCCATAGCCACAAGGTGTTTTTTGTTTTGTTTTGTTTTACTCATTTTTAAACTTGTAGATTTTGGAGGGGCAGAGGTGGGGTCTGGGGTCTAGAAGGAGACTTGGTAGTTTTTTAGTGTCATGGCATATGTGGTAGGTCACATCTATAAAAGTAAATCTAGTAAAAAAGATTTCACTGAGTAATTTCGATACTAGCGCAAATATAGATACAGAAAACCTGATCAAATGATGTCTCAAGCTTGGGAACTGTGATATTAGAAAAAGAAGTTCCCTTCCAAAGGTGTTGGTCAAAAGCTTTTTGGGCTAACTTACATATTTAAATAATTATGTGTTAAGTTTTGGAGGACTTACCAAGGAGTTTATTGTTACTTAAATATTTCTCTAATGTACAAATGCAAATCTAAGTGGATACTTCTACTTTGGCCATTTACGGGGGCGGGGCGGATGGTAGGGGGGAGTGGTTTTTTTGAAAGCCTCACCTCTGCAACAACTTTAAACAGTATCATTTGTATTATAAGTTCCACCAAAGCCATTTGCAGTTTGGGGAACTGAATATCTTAATTGATAGATTGGAAAAAAGGCTTTATTTTTTTCCCTGTGCTCTAAATTGTTATGTTTTACTATTTCATTTGGAGATGGTTTTACTTTATAAAATGAAAATTCAATTTTTCCTATTGTGTCCTATGTATAGATTTCAAAATTATGTTGTTAATTTGTAGCTGACTATATTGTAGCTAATCTTATTAAGGATGAGCATCCAGAAATTTTTGTAGGAAGGTATATAAATGGAAGAAGAGGGAAGATACTGTGAATAGGCCCCTAAACTTTAATTTAAAAAAAAAAAAAGGAAAATCTTTGCCAGATTTAAGAACATTCTTTAAATTGATTCCTTCAGTATTTTTAATACCTTTTCAAATAAAGTTCTTGAAAAGTACCCAGTATTGTGGATTTAATGTTTCATGCCATTACTGATTCTTGATATTCAAGCATTTAGAAGTTAGCACATTTGTTTTTCTTTTTTTTTTCATTATTAACATTTCGTTTGAAATGCATATCCTTCCTGAAATACTTTATTTTTAGCATAAATGTTGTGCATTTTATCTTAGTGTTTGGATTAAAACATTTGTGTTATTTAGCTTTCTTTTATTTGCTTTGTATATTTAATAATGTACCTTTTATTTTCCAGTATGCCTACTTTTTGTATTGTACAATAAATTTATTTTAAGCTGATTTTATTGTTTTTTTTTTTTTTGATGAAAGGAACTCTAGCATTTTAAGTACAACAAATAGTTGGAATTTTAACTTCAAAATAGTAAATCTTTATGAAGATACTATTAAAATGCTTTAGATTTTTACTTCTGAGGCTATTGTGAAGACATACTAGAAATACTCTCTAAAGGGCTTCATTTGATTTTTTTTTTTTTTTTTAACAAAGTATATAGAGTCGGTGGGCTTTTTGAGGGAGAGTACATTTTTCTATTGGTTGTACTAGAAGTATCTGAATAAAGACTTTTCTCCCAATTTTTTTTTGTTGTTTTTCCATTTAACAACTTGAAAAAAATCTACCCTATTTGCTGGTTTCCTGGTTCAGCTTTCTGAGGAAGAGTATCGCTGGTGTTACTCACTGTGTCACTGTTTTATATGTTGTGTAGGGTAGGAAAACATTGCTGAATCAGATGAAGAGTATTGTAATATTACTTTAGAATTGTGAATCACAGTAGAATTTATATTAAATGGAATAACTATACTACAGAAATTCACCTTATTTACTTTTTAAGGAATTTAGTCTTCAGAAGGAACTTTATATTTCCACAGCGTAGTCCAAAGTCTAATGAGGCTCCATGCATTGTCAGACATAAACAGTACAGTTGACTCTTAACACAGGTTTGAACTGCATGGCTCCACTTAATTTAGTAAATTATAGTACAGTACTGTAATTTATTTTATCTTCCTTATGATTTTCTTAATAACATTTTCTTTTCTCTAGCTTACTATGTAACAAACAAAATGTTTTACTGAACTGTTTATGTTCTTGGTAAGGCTTCTCGTCAGCATCAGCTATTAGTAGTTAAATTTGGGGGGGGAGTCAAAAGTTCTATGCAGATTTTCAACCACATGGGGGCCAGTATTCCTAAGCCCTCCCACATTGTTTAAGGTCAGCTTTACTTTAAGTTTAAATTTTACTGTTTGATCAGATAACACCATTTGTATCCAGAGAAGTCGTCCCAAATATATTGTAGACTTTTAAAACTATTTGAAGGGGAAATACCATTGTTTATAGGATTTTGTATTTATCTAAATGGGATTTTTTTTTTTATGAAGTTCTTTTGGGACTAGGAAATAAGTTCATGTGTAATTGATTCAGTATGTAATTGATTTATGATTGCTTACTCTTAAAGACACACTTGGATTTTTTTTTTTTTTTGCTTTTAATCCATTTGAAGCAAAGGGAGAGGTGGCTCAGCTTGGTCGTCTTAGCCTGACAGTGTCAAGTTTTGTAGGCATGTATGTATGTGAGAAGAAACACTGATGTATACTGATGTCAGTCTATACCCTGATAATTTAT